AGTTACATCTGATTGAAGCTGAAACCATTTTGTTTTCATGCAGGCTGTATCAGTTACAGTCAGGGGATGTGTCTGGAGCTGCATAGACAGGAAAAAAATTGATTTAACTCCTAAATGGCAGCGACTTGAGCTGTGAGACTGCAGGGGCATGATCTATACAGAAAAATCGCTTTATTGAGCTTAAGTTGTTTTGGTGCCTATAGTGTCTCTTTAAATTTGAATGCACAATATCAGTGATTGGATTGCACAATATCAGTGAATTCAGACAACCTCCAAAGGCAGATCCTTTGAAGTACCTTGTTTATTTATACAATACACAACATGGTAAAATAGCCCATCAAAACAGACCTTGTATAAAGTGGTGTATTTTGGATTTGTGCTGCCCTGGGCACGACTAAATTCGGGCACCTCTAAAATCTAAATTTGCCCCCCCAATTCGTGTCAAGGCCACTTTTTTGACTAACAGACACATGCCCTCATTGATACATGCACTGATATACACTCATTGACAGATACACAGTCATTGGCACACACTGTTTAACCAAAACACACTTTCACTGACAGGCACACACTCTCAGATACACATAAAATTACATACACACACTGACACACACTCACAGGCACAACCATTCTCACAAAAAAACACACACTTTAACTCACTCACAGACACACACTGACAGCTACACTCACTCACTTACAGTAAGGTGGACAGCCCCAGAACATGAGGCAACCAAGGCATTTGTTTGGGAGCTTGGGGTGGCATTTTTTTGGTGCCCTCCCTGAAAGTGCCGCCCTAGGCAAATGCCTTGTGGTAAATACATCTCTGCTTGTATATGACAAGGGATTTGGATATAAAAATACAAAAAAATATAAAATCCCGAATTCCTGCACCTGAAAGAAGAAGGGGGAAAAAACAGAAAAATCTGGGTATAAAATCTAGAAGGCCACTGGACGGGTTTCGTGTCTACACCTGCTGAAAAATCCATCCACTGCCCTTCTATGTTTGTTTGTTTGAAACATTCTTTATTTTATTCAGTTTTCAGATGTTGGTAAACAGATATACAATGCTGTAACAATATAACCATGTATCAGCAGACAGTTCATCTTTACATATGTAACAAGAACAGTACAGTGCACCGCCTTGACCAGACAACAGAGAGTTTATAGTTTGCATTTGTTGGATCGAGATACAAATATCCGAATAATTCGTTTCCATGACAATATTGCTATCTAATCCGGTAGCATTTCATACATTTTGTGGTGTTACACTTTAGGATATTCTGGTTTAATTAAATTCTGGTTAATTAATTTGGATTAACTGATCAGTCAGGCTGTGCACATATCCCGTTTGCGGGTTTGTTATTGAATCAACAGCGTGTCCATGAGGTGGACCCCCATTCGGGTTGCTTGTCTGGAGACGCAACACATCACGCTGATGCAACAAACAGGGGCATGGTAGGGAAGGGTAGGTGAAAAGGACAACTAGGTACAACAGTCGGAAACCTTGATGCTCGTGGTCGTGGCAGTGGGTTGTGGAGAAGCGATTGTGATGGTTATGTGATTCACAGCCAGTCGTTACTCTGGCTGGAAGGGGAGGGGAGGTGGGAAAGAGAATCAGGATTGAGTAACTATTTACAAATGAGTACGGTGTGGGTTATGGGTGTAGTGAGTAGTGTAGTTAGGTGGGATCAGAGTAAAGATGGTAGAGAAGAGAAGGTGGAGGTGAAAAATAATGGAGGAGCCATCCGGATAACCCTGGTGTGGGAGGGAAGTGGGTTTGGGGAGACTTGGGGTCCAGGGTCCCATGTGCAGCGTTCTAAGTGCATGACTAGGATAGTGTGGTCAGTGGGGGTAATGTAGTTTGAGGGCTGTATGGCCGTTCATCCACTATCAATCCATGGACCCCAAATGTTATGTAAGACCCTCTGAGGATCTGGGCCGTCAATCTATCCATATCAGTGGTTTCTCTGATTTTTCCACTTCCGTATAAGTTGGTATACTTTTTCATGATGCCATGCACACTGTTTTTTTAATGCTGAAACACTGTATATGAAAATGATTATTTTTCAATAAAGCTTAAATGGAAAAAAAACTGTGTAATCTAAGAAGTTCCATCAAAATGTAATACTGTCATTAAATGGCCTTTTTTTTTTTAGGCAGAATATTTAAAGTACAAATTTTGCCAGTCATGTTATTTCTGGGATCTAATCTATACTGTGACTTTACACTCTATTGTTATCCATATCTTCTTTCTCTATATTTTGTTCCCCCTGTACGTAGGTAGGGTGTGCATAATTGAACACATAAATGCAATATATTGCCAATATCAAAAATATTGTTGATTTTTTTTTGTATATGTGAATTTATGCAGTACTTCATAGGTAACAGTAATGCAGAATATATAAAAATGTTTGCTACTAAATTCATAAAAATATGGCTACATTCCTATTACAAATCCACCATATTTTTTGTTCTTCGGGACTGTATCCCACCACTGCATTCCCGATAGATCAGAATGTAGACATATATAGAATTATGACGCTTCAATTACTCCTGTCTCATTGGAGAATGCGACTGCCTTTAACGTACCATCCTATCCCTGGCAGAGTGTCCCTCTGTCAAATGACATCAGCTTCAGGACTATATGCTGAGCACTCAATGGTTGTCCATGGAGCCATCAACTCTCAGGGGCCACATTTTCTGGCAGGTGTCACATGTATCATGAACAGAGGCAATGCGTTTCTCCACTGACAGTGCATGTCAAATTTTGGTTTCAATGCGCAGATACATAGGAATCGCATTAACATACATTTAATTACGTTGTCATTCTGACAGGACCTTTTAATAAAATGAGAATTCAAAGAGAATTTAAAGTCCAAGTAGCCAAATTGGAACAGGTCAATAATCAGCTATTCTTCTAGTTATGCTAATCTGAGGTGTAATTCATTTAAAATTCTCACTTTAATAAATAATCCTTTAAGACACACTTATACACCCAACATCTTTAGCTACTTAGAAAGAATGGGAAATATCAGGCACAGGAAATATGGACCCTAACGTTGGCAACACAGGGGATATGTGTCTCTTCTAAGAGTTAAGCTGCTACCATAACTGATATTTGACTACACCCTTTTCCTGTTTAAAATAACCCTTCTAAAGATCGAATTGATCTTACGTAGGATTATCGTAATGGTATAACATAGTGAATAAGAATGTAATTATATATTGTTTGCACATACAGTTGATGTTGTGTACATAAGGTTGCCAAATTGCAACACTTTAATTCCAGACCAGTTAGTATTTGTGCTTAATAATAGTAATAATAATATGAAATCAGCAGCATGTATATGGCCCGTACTCCTTGTAAATCCAAAACTCAAGCGTGATCTTACTCAAGAGTTCTGAGACTCCATACTGTATGTTAATGGTCCCTGCTATATTAAGCATTTATTATTGTCCAGTCAGCTTTAACCAGAATGAAATATTAACCGCTGCGTTTCCATCTGATGGGCATGTGACACATTAATCATATTTCAGTATTGGATCTCTCTAGGACCTGAGTGAAGACCTATTCTTTTTATCCAGAGTTCCTTGCACTGCATGTGTCACTCCTACTAAAGCACTTGCTGTAAATTACATCATTCATTGCCACCGCCTTTAGGTAGTGTGTACTTAACATATGTACTAAAATACATTCAGCAAAACAATCCAATTGCCCAATTTAAAGGGATTGGAGAAAGCTATGTCTGTAACCAGTACTGCATGCAGGTTGGGGCAATTTACTGGGCCTCAGCACATACATTTTCTCTGAAAAGACAGTGTTTACTGCAAAACGTCTACAAGAAAATGACATCATGACAGAAAAGAGGGCCAGTCTTTATAATAGCCACTTAGTCAAACACTGGCCAAAGTTAGCATTCTAATTTTTATGTGTGTGAAAAATGCAAAAAAACTAATTTGAATGCTAATTTTGGCCAGTGTTTGTGACTAAGTTGCTACTAAAAAGACTGAACATACCCCATTTGCAATACCTTTGGGGTAATTTTCATTCCTGGGCTACGATACGGTCTCAAAGGCAATAAAACCAATGGAAACGCAAGTCTTATATTACACTCTGCAACTTTTGAAAACACCATAAAACCTGTACATCATGGGTACTGTTATACTCGAGAGACTTCGCCGAACACAAATATTAGTGTTTCTAAACATTACAACCTTATCACAACAATGATTATATTATTAATATTAATCTATAATTAAATAAAAAATTCAGTGAAAGTGCCGTTTGTGTGTGAACAACTTTGTTTTCCTGGCATTATAGTTTTCCTTTAAATCACCCCAAATACATTGAATACATCCTATATCACAAAGTACATGATGTATGCAATGTAAAATATTGAGATAAACTCACATCAACTCCGTTGCAGTGCTACAATCTACAGATATTCGTCGGTGTTACCCTTCGTGTAACAACCTGCGGTCTGTCCTCAGCTCCTCCTCTGGTCTTCTTTCATTTGTCAATCTTAGGGAATCCTCCGTTTTTTAGCCAGCATGCCGGTGTCTCAATGGAGTGACAATAGACTCTGTTCTTATACTTCCGAGACAGTGGTAGCAGCGTTGGCTAGGGAGACTCCATAGCAAACACCGCGCATGCACTGGGAGTGCAGAAGCACTGCCCGTGGGAAGTCTTTTCTGCGCTCCCTTGTCAGCCAAATCGTCTGCATTAATCTATACCGAACATTTGATGAGAAGTGAGAAAAAGACCTATTTTTAAATAGTGTTTCTCCCAATCAATACATTTGCTAGCGAATCTGCTGAAATAGGATGCTCTGTCAAAAGAGCATTAGCAGTCTGGGGCATTAATGTCCCCTTTAACTCAGATTACTTCAAATGTTGGATGGCAATAAAGCTAGCAAGCATTTTGAAAATAAGCAAACCCTACCTTTTTTCTTGGTTCCTCATGCAGTAGGTTTTTAATGGAGAAAAATAAATGACAATAGAATATTTTCACATTGATCTTTATTGATATATCTGCCTAATTATAATAAATATTGCTATGTATATCCACTTACAAACAGCACGAGAAACTGGACAGAAGGGAGATATTTGCAAGCCCCGGTGTCCAGATTAAACAAGGAACTAACGTTTAGAATTTATTGATGTTTGTCACTTTAGTAGCTGGGGACAAAATACTGGCTGCTAGTGGAGTCATTGCACATATTGTCTCACAAGAGTAAACCTATACACTCAGGATTCTATTGTATATGTATAGGCCAGGATCGCAGCATTCTATAATGGATAAAGTATGGATGCAGGCAACTCAGCTTAGTATCAAGTCAATCAAATAGATAAAATAAGGCCATTTAGCACATTTAGTTTGTACTCAAACTTTACATAAATATAATAAATTTCAAAACATAATAAGCACTGTAATAACAGTGCTACATGGAGCCACATACATGATAATTAAGTATTCAAATCTGTTAAATTAACACTTTAATGTTAGGAATATAACTGTGTATTTCTAACATTAAGGTGGTACAGAGGCGATTTAGGTATACACCATTGTGAAAATAAGCTTTTTTAAAATTACCTGATTTGGGGGTTCATGTGTGGCAAACACCGCAATGCCCCGATTAGCATCTCTGAATAGAAATCATGGTCGTTGTCTCCATGCAGAACTTGAAGGTGCCAGACGTCAAACCTGCAATCTCTGCAGGATCGCATCAAGGAAACCCCTCTAGTGGCTCTCTGACAGCCACTAGAGGTGACGTTAGGCAGCAGTGATAATACTGCCGTTTCTCTGAAAGGGCAGTGTTTACATTGCTGAGACTGCAGGGGCAGTCTCTTTGCCCCACATCCACAACTTTAAGCTAGATCCCAAAACAGGCATATGAACAGAACTAAAGCTGGCGAATGTAAAAAGTTTAACTCCAGAAAGTTCTCGAAGTGGATCCAGTTGAAAAATAAAATGTATTGAAAAAAGCTTTTTTTTGATTGAAAAAAATTAAATCTATGTAAAAAAAAACAAAGCTCACATCAGCAGATAGTGTGCTCTATAGGTTGCTGTAAACTTGGCTTCATTTTACTGCTTTTTCAATACATTTTGTTGATCTTTTTCTGGATCTACTTGGGTGGGTTACCATACTTTTGCAGTGGGGGTTCGCCTATTAGGCAGTTTCAGTTCTGTCTGCATGTATGATAAATATCTACGTACAGCTATATTCCTTTTATTTGGGAATGGGACCAAAGTTTCACAAACTATATCCATTATGATACACTGACGCACAGGCCTATCGAATCTAACAGTTGAGTTATTTCAGGGGAGAGGAAAGTCTTGAAAGCAACCTAGAAATGGAGTTATATCTTCATGGGGAGAAGGATGACAGAATTCACTGTTTATTAGTTTCATGTCTAACATCTTCCAGTTGTCTGTATCACTTGGTCTGTATCACTTGATTAGATGCTTCAAGTTATATTGTGCCACTGTATCTCCTTAGTCTCACTGGGTCAATGCCTGAACAATGTCCTTGGCCAACATAGTTCCTATCACCATCTTCTCACTGTTAATAGTCAGCAGAGCTGCAGACACGTCCTTCAGAGCTAACGTCACCAGGACCAGGGTTCCACTTGTTACAGTCTTGGCTGCAAACCTGCATAGAGCAGAAATAAGTCATTACATCAACCATGGAATTGTAAGACATTCTTACTGAACTGGTATAATACTATCCTATTCAACCTCTAAATTGGCTTGGCATGTATCATTTCAACCTAGACCACAACCATGCCTTAATTAATGATCCCACAGTCAATAAGCTCTATACTATGCTTACCCCAATACGCCATGACAGCATACACAATAACAGGTTCATTTTAGTTTATGCCATTCTACCCATCGAAAAGAAGTAATAGTTCCCCATTTTTTTCAATACCTTTTAACATTAGAAAAACAACTCACTAAAATAGTGTCCCCCTCATTCCCTAGTATTCCACCCTATATTTGCTGCTTATTAAATTTTTTTATTTTTTAATACATTTAGTATTGGATTGGGATGTCATCAATTATGTAATTGTCCTTTCTGTAGATAGCTCTCAGTAGTTTCCCTTGGGTTTCCACACAGCAGAATGAGTCATAGCAAGAGGAAATCACATGATAACCCAATCTCCAGTCCCTGAGAGCACAGGGATTGTGTTCTTTGTTACCAAAAGAGACAGCACGTTACCACATAGCGACAGTAATCACTGTAATCAGTCAGTGAAGGAAGATTGTCTGCGCTCCCCAAAATCTGCCCACTGCCTGGACACATGTCTTGTTTGCCTTATGATAGTCCTTGTGCCATCCTTGTCATTGTCTATGGGAATCATGGGATTTCCTATCAATCATGAAGAACCTGCCTGAACATTTAAATTAGGACTACTGGACCAGCTTTGCGAATCCTCGTTGTAGTGCCAGTTACATTTGCTTTAAAGGAACACTATAAGGTCAGGAAGACAAACATGTGTTCCTGACCATATAGTGTTAAGAACACTACCTAGCCGCCCTGCCCCTTCCCCCTCCCACTCAAATATAGTTAAATTTTACCTTTACCCAAGTCTGCTGGTGCTGCCTCTGCCCCTGATCTGCCTCCTTGTCTGACATCATCAAGTGATGATCTCAGCCAATCATAATGCTTTCCCATAGGAAAGCACTAGATTGGCTGAGATTGTAAATTCTGATGATCTCAGCCAAGGAGGCGGGCCGGTGGATGGAGCCAAGTGCTGCCCTTGCCAATCAGCATCTCTACATAGAGATGCATTGAATCAATGCATCTCTACGAGGAAAGTTCAGTGTCTGCATGCAGTGCACACTGTGCAGCACTGCCCCAGGAAGCACCTCTAGCAGCCATGAGGAGTGGCCACTGAAGGTATTCATATGCTGTAATGTAACACTGCTTTTTCTCTGAAAAGTCAATGTTTACTGTAAAAAGCCTACAGGGACAGACTATACTCACCAGAACAAATACAATAAGTTGTAGTTGTTCTGGTGACGATAGTGTCCCTTTAAGATTGTTTATTTTGTATCTTGAGCATCATTTCACAAGGTAGATTAAATGACAATGCTCTGGTTAAAGTCAGCATTATATAATCAGAAAACTGCTGATTTAGTCCAAATGAAAACCTTTTAGCAGACATATCAGCATTCTGGTATGTTTGCTTTTGTTTGTTGTAGTTATCTGTTTTCCTATCAGTTACTGTAAGCATGAGGTTTACTTAATACCATAAAGTTAAAGCACACTTGGCAATGAGAAGACCAATAGGCTCAACACAGTAAAAGACTGAAGTATAAAATATGCAAAGAAAACACATCATTCAAAAAAACTAATCTGATGTATTTCACAGCAGTAAACCAAAACCACCCCAGAACACACCATGCACTACCTTAGGCATACGGGCTTTGCCGCTGGAAGTTCTCTGCGACTGTTAAACAACAAATTCACATATCAGCATTTTCAGATATTCAATATCTATGTGTTGCTGTATTAAGTGTTAAAATATTTGCAATAGGTAAAGCGTTACTATAGGTTACCTTTTTGTGACATTAGCTTTATAATGTCCTATTGGGCACTACTGGTCTTTTTTTCCACCTTCTTATTTCATTCAAAACCCGATTAAATGTTTTACTAACCTTAAATCCAGTGCAGACGACAAGTAATTTTTGCACAGAATTGACACTAAACAGCCCGGAAAAGAGTACTAGGCTGCCTAGGTCACCAGTGGTGTATTCTGGTTTTGTGCTGCCCTAGACATGACAAAACTCAGCATTCCCCTACCCCCTTCCAAATTTATCTTCCTGACAGACATACCCCCTCACATACACTCACTGACAGATACACAATCTTTGTCACACACACTGTTTAACCAACACGCACTTCTACATTCACAGACATACTCACTCATTCACAGACATACTCACTCACAGTTACACACACACTCACATTCACCTTCACCGACAGACACACACACACACACTAACAGACACACACACTAACACACTCATTAACAAACAGACACACACACACACACACACTAACACATGGCTGGGCTGGCATGCATGTCATATTCCAGCTCCGGCATCAGTGCGGTGCGCACGAGGGAGCTGAGCAGGGGAGAGCTCAGGGGAGAGTGCTCCCTTGCTGTCCGCCTACATCAGCGCATGCCAGCATTGGGGGGCCCTGAGGTGGCCAACTGACCAGCTCCTGGGCACCCCAGGACAAGAGGCTGACAAGGCATTTGCCAGAGCGTTTTCTGTGCTACACAGCACTGTAGGTCACGGGTGCCTGTGGTGTAACAAAAGTGCAAATGTCTCTGGATATAAAGCATTTCAGCAGAAAGACTGCACAGATTCTTACCACCATTACTAGACTTCTAAAAGCAGAAACAGCCATGATGGTTGGAGTAACCCTTTAATGGTTTAATGAACCACTTTATGTTTTACCGGGCAAATAATTTTCTCCCTGAATGGTGAGAGACTATGAGTTTTAAAATATTAGAAAAAACACAGCCTAAAAAGATAAGGTGGGATAAGACCCATAATGCAATGCTTCAGCACACTCGTCCCTCTTTAGCCTCTCCTCCTCTCTATTCTCATTTCTACGTAGAGCGGTAGCCAGGCAGAGGAGAAGGAAAATAAGGAACAAAACAGCAAAGCACGCAGGGCAGTGGAAGCACATGCCTAGGCCCTCAGCACTCACGAGCTCTGAGCAAATCCGAAAATAAATTCATTTACCAGGAAACACAAAAATTTTTTTTCCCTCCTTAGCGACTTAGCTACCACCAGAGTAGAATGAGCAGTATCCTTTATCTGAGGCATAAGCCTTCTAGATCATGTGCTTTAGTAAAGTGGGAAGAGCGATGGCTGAAGTCTTTTTGTTGTTGAGTGGTTCAGAAAAATGAACAAACAAGTAAGAACACTTCCTAAAGGGCCTAATGGCTTCAACATAATAAAGTCTAAGGGAGCTTGGCTAAAACCGTTTTACCTTTTTTTGTAAAATTAAACCTGTTGTTTTTATGTTAGAAAACCCCCAGATATTAGAGGTGATATGCTCAGGCTTAGCAGGGAGACAACATGTTCCTGGATAGGGATAAATAAGGATTATGGGTGTTTCTATTTCCTCAGGTTAGGAGGCTGACTTTGGGATCTCACCATCGTTCAATAGAAGTGAAAAAATTTCTTTCTACAATAAACATTTTTATTAAGGATTAATATGAAAAAATAACATGAAAATAGATGATCAGATTATAATAAGAGATAACAGTAAAAACAATCCTGTGGGAGGTGAGTGTTACTGTTTTGTCACCTCTGCAATTTTTTCTTATTAAATTCATAGGTTTTTCCTAATAAAATATATAAGTTTGTAAGATATCAGAATTATTACATACGGACTAGTAACTCCATGAGATGTTTCTGTATGTGTGGTTACTTTCTTAATTGTTGATTTTATACACTCTCCTAAGCTGCTAACTTGGATCAAATGGAAGTTTAGCAGTTATGAAAATCATGTTTCTTACACCTTAAGTGTTTGGTGAGTTGAAAGCAAGTTCTAAGAGTTATGATGTTAGGGAGAGATTTATCAAAATATCAGATCAAGTGATGCAAAGTTCTAGTAGTGTACTAGTCATCATGGAAACCAATGGAATGCACCGATTGGTGATTGTGTCATTTTACAATTTGCACAACTCTTCTAATCACAACACCTTTACAGATATTCTCCTAAAATGTTATTGCTTTAAGAAACTATCTGGGTATTTAAATCCACATGGCTGTCTAATATGGTCATTTACTCTCCATCATGGTACTAGCATGGAGCGTTAATTTTCAGACACAGGCCAGCTGAGGAGCTGGGAAAGAACTTGTAACGTATGTACAAGTAGCAGCCTGTCAGGATAAACTAATGCCCAACATGCAGAACTTAAGAAGAAAATAAAGAAGACGTGTTACTGGGCCTTAGAACGTCTGGATTTAACGTATAAAAGGAAAAACCACAAGAGAGCCCGTGGACAAGAACACAGAAATCACGGAAACTATGAACAAGCCAGATGTCGAGAAATATAGAAGTCACAATAGTCAGGAGCCAAGCCAAAGGATACAGAGATCAGAATAGTCAGTAAGAAAGCCAAAGGTCAAAATACACAAGAAACAGTACCAGAAACGTGCTCTCAGATAACCAGAATGGAAACCACGACAGGGCACAGAGAAATGGACAAAAAAGGTTTAAATAGCCTAAGGTGCTCCTTGATTGGCTGCACGGAAGCGTGTGACAGTGAACGTGTGTGACGTCACACACACACACGTTTCAGATGGTTAGGTAATGGAAGGGTTAAATATGAACCTTAAAAGGTTCTAACTTGCAGCGGCCGGTGTCTCTAATGTTTACAGACCCGGCTGCTGTGTAATGGGAGGAATGTTTGTCAGTGAGGCCGGAGGGCGTCGCGGGAGGAGGTGAGTGATAGGTGACATTCCCATTACCACGTGCGAATGCCGCCATAACGAGATGCGCCCTCCAGGTCCCGGTCCGCGGACCCGGAGGGTGTCTGGAGGCAGGGTGAGTATTCTACGGCATTCCGCTTGCGATGTGGGAATGCTGCCGCACAGATATGCGCCTGCCGGGACCCATAATGCTCTCTGGCAGGAGGAGACCCGGCGGGCGGCGTGACACAGCCACTTGGTGGCATTAGATATGTGGATTAATAAAGGTAAATGCAGGTACAGTAACTCACTATGTAAAGTAATGTTCAATTTGTGTATGTTCATTGTTTTGTCTGGCTCATAGACATTTCTTAGTTCAGATTGATCATATGATCACATAGAAGATCCATTGCATGCAGTAACGTGGGCATTAAGCATCTTCCTTTAGATGCATCTAATAAATTATGTATATTATATTTTATATATAGATATGAAGACCCATGTCTGTCTAGACACAACTTTGCTTTAATCTGTTGATGGAAACACATGTTGACAAGGCTCTTCTTCCTTACCTGTATTCTTTATCGGCACCGCATGGCACACGGTTCATATTAGCAACTGATATGACCCTCTGGACGATGACGTGGTCACTATTACACTTTTCGGACAATGACAATCTCTCCGTGATCTCATTCATTCCCGTCAGTTTACCTGAGTCATAGGAATGCACTATTAGTCACTCCATGAAATACAATGTCTATTATCTACTGTAGGCAGATACCCATTATTACTGCCTTCTATTGCTCAGCATGAGTAACTTATCCCTCATTTAGTCCATTAATTATCATTAAGTGTATGCACCGGTGATGGCTACATGGTAGATAACCACCTGTTACATAATTACAACTCCCATCATGCTTTACCAGTGTTAAGGGAAGTAATGGGGATGGGAAATTAATTCTACCACAGTTGGGGATTTAACTTTCTGCCATATTTGGTGTACAGCTATTGTGAAGAAGAGAATGTGTCTGCTGATCTGCCCATCTTTCCCATGTTATATGTTCTCTCTATCATTATTTTCCCGTCTCCCTCTTTACTCACAGTGGGGATTCACCACATACACGACACACAACTTACCCTGCTCTCTCTTGAACTCATTTTCACTCATAAAGACAGGCTCCATCAATTCTCCCACAGGTGGCTGGATATTCACAAAGAATTTCCGTGTGTGTGTGCTGGAAAGGAACAGTCACAGTAAATAGGCCATAAAGACGTATGATCTTGTCCTATAACTGGGAACTTAACAAAACCCTAACAATCTTCAAATCACCATATTAACCTACCTTGCAGAGTCTGTATAGTGCCCAGGGACATTACTAGGTTTCAAAAGGTTGATGCTATCTGGCCCTTCACCCCACCCTTTAATGATTCTTACTTTCTCCAGAACCCATTCCTTTGATAACTACCTAGACTTAGGGCAGTGGCCTTTTCTTCCCACTTCCTATAAGCTGCATCAAGGAAATTGGATTAACTAAACGAATTAAAGCTAATTCAGTTGCCATTCAGTTGTGAATGGCTGAATCAGCCTAGATAGAAATAAGATTGACCTATTTTAACAGAACAGTCAAACGGATTTATAGCTTAAATAACTGAATGTTAACAAACTAGATGACGTTTGGCTGCCTTTCAGTACTCACTGTCTGAGGCTATTTCCCATTATATAAAAATATAAAAGCAGAAATACTACAATACAAGTAGAGGCAGACTATGGGTATAGCCACACATGAGAGGCTCATCATATCACCAAATCAGTACAGACTATGTACTTGGTATATATATTCTAGTAAGAGGGCAGAGAATCTACAGTAAATCCTGACAGTTTTCTGGTACTCAGATATCAGAGTGTTGAATCCTTACAGCCCAGACCTGCGTGAATGACATATTAAAAGGGGATTATGATATGGTCTCTTACCAAAGCTGGAAGTTGGCGGTCTGGGTGGAATCACAGAAGTCAATGCCCATTGTAACCGTGACGCAGTCTCCAGGAGCTAGGGATTCTGGAGGAAAAATTGTTGAGAGGAAGTAGAAACAAGTTGTTTTGAGAAGTCATGTTACATGAGGTATGATTAGAATATAACAAAACAAAACTATCACTCTACCGCTAACATAGAAACATAGACTGTGACGGCAGATAAGAACCATTCGGCCCATCTAGTCTGCCCAATTTTCTAAATACTTTCATTAGTCCCTAGTCTTATCTTATAGTTAGGATAGCCTTATGCCGATCCCACTCATGCTTAAACTCCTTTACTGTGTTAACCTCTACCACTTCAGCTGGAAGGCTATTCCATGCATCCACTACCCTCTCAGTAAAGTAATACTTCCTGATATTATTTTTAAACCTTTGTCCCTCTAATTTAAGACTATGTCCTCTTGTTGTGGTAGTTTTTCTTCTTTTAAATATAGTCTCCTCCTTTACTGTGTTGATTCCCTTTATGTATTTAAATGTTTCTATCATATCCCCCCTGTCTCGTCTAAGAACATTTAATACTACAATTATCTCTGTCCTCTATAGGAAAAAACTCATACATACAAAGACTTTGGAGTTTATTCAGTAAATACCAAAATGACGCGAACAAAAAAAACTAAATCTAGGCAATAAATAATTTGGAAAAACTGACTGATATATGGTCACAGCTAGGCTATTTTAGCCCACATTTTACAATTAGGTTAGCAGGTAACTAAACTGGCAGTTCAGCAAATAAACCCCTTTGTTAAAGATGTGTGTGTGAGTATAATTCCTGGTCTCTGAGAAGAAGCGCAGCAGAATCCAAGCCAAGCAATACATTCTAGGTTCTGTTTTACAACTGACAAAGAGGCCCTGGTCGTGCAATACTAGCTAACAGGGAACACATCTATCATATTGTTTATAAACAATCAAAATGTACTAAAGAATACCATACATTTATTCAACTTTCTTACCCTAGTTAAAACCACAATCGACACATTTTTTTAAGTAAATTTTCATGTAAGCCACGTAAAGCACGGGGAAGACAAACTAATCCTGCCAGTTCTGTTGTTGGACAGCACGAACAGTAAGCAAGCAAGCAACCAAGCGTTAGCGATCAGACAATTTGACATAGGTCTATACCTATTTCCGTAAACTCTTGGATCCGCATGCCAGACAGGAGCTTGGGATTGCTGATATGGATATTCTTCACCTCGCTCTCAGTATTGTTGGAGATCTTGATCTGCACACCCACCATGCGAGGGTCTTGTGCAAAGGGTTGGCGGCTGAACATATATTCCATGGACAAGCCCTCCCCAGTCATTCGGTGCAGCAGCTCAAAGGTACGCCCCGAGGAAAATATCGGACTGACAACCTGGTGCAACAGAGGGGTACAATGACAATGAGAGACAGAAACAGTCAGGGCTGGAGAAGAAAAGGAGGACTGGTCAAACATGCAAAGGATGAACGAAAAAGAAATAAACGGAATAACTTATAAATAGGATAAGCAACGAGAGGAATAGCTAAGGGAGGAATATGTAAACACACACAGAATCTTTGGGGTACACTGATCCCAATTTATAAAATTTGCCAGCAGGAGGTAATTTGTCATACTTGAACTGAGTATATTTTTAAAATGGTTTACTTCATATTTTTTTTATAACTCTTGATTTTAAATTTTAATATCTAACAAATAAGAAAAATGCACGCAAACTGAAAACAATTCTCATGTGTAAAATAGAAAATAGCACACAATAGTTTAGTGTCTTGCGCGGTTCTCCTGAAGGCAACTGCCTATTCTTCTTGCTAGCTGCATTTAGTTGCTCACCGTCGGGGTTAGAGATGTGTCTGTCATGGACAGTCCCTCCAGGTCAGACACCAAGCTTGCTGATACAACATTCCTTGTGGTCACTGCAGGGGCTGAGGGGAGTGAGACTGATACAGAGAGAAATTGTTAAAAACTGAGAGATTCTTTGAGAAAAGTTCAGAAGGGCATGCTGTTCATACTGCCAGAAAAAGTATTAGTGATTTTAGTAATTGATAAAAAAATAACATTCTAAGTTGAAGCTAGCAGCTTTATTCAAATTGAATTAGAATATATAATTCAGCAGTGTTGATCTTACTGAGCTCAATGCATACAATGCAACGTCAGAGTGCCTATTTAACCCCTTAAGGACACATGACATGTGTGACATGTCATGATTCCCTTTTATTCCAGAAGTTTGGTCCTAGAGGGGTTAAAGAAACATTATAGTGATATGAATACAAACATGTTCCTAACGGTACAGTGCTGGAGTTGCAGTTCAAGTCATCGGTCCCCCGCAGAGTCGAGTTAAATTCTTGTTTTACTCACCTTTTCTCCCACACTGGTCTCGCTGTGGCTGGCCCCGCCTCTATGGCTTAGATCATCAACCTTGATGATCTCAGCCAATCCAATAATTTGCCATAGGAAAGCATTGTGAGTCTATCGCGCATGCGCAGCAAAACGCAACACTGTATTGAATCAATGCATCCCTATGGGGAGCGCACAGCATCTCCATGCAGAGCATAAAGATGCTGAACGCAGGTGCTGCACACAATGCAGCATTGAGATAGGAAGCACCTTTAGTGGACATCTGAGTGATTGCACCTAGAGGTGTTTCTAGGCATCAATGTAAACACTGCCTTTTCTCTGAAAAAGCACTGTTTATATTGAAAAACCTAGAGGGACAGGCTATAGACACCAGAACAATACGTTAAGCTGTAATGGTTGTGGTGATTACAGGGTTCATTTAAACACTATCTCTCAAATAGTGGAAGTCAGTTTTTTGCCAATACCACAGCAAGTAACAATATTATTCAATAAAGTGTGAATTGTCAGGAATTCACATTTTAGGCTGAAATAGCCAAATTGAAAGAAATCTCCAAATAAGTATCTCCAGACTCTCCAAATAGGGTTATGTATTGAAGACCCCAGACCCCTATTGTAAAAAAACATTACCTGGCCCCAATATCAAAACAAAAAATAAATAAATGCAACTTACCCCATCCGTACTTCTTACAATATACTTCTATATTTGCCTGTATATCACTGTAAGGTTTTTCCACCTTCAGTACGATTGGCTGAGATTAATCCCAGCCAATCACAGTGCACACAAGGTTTCCTGAGATCCTGAGATATTCACTGGATGCAGAGTGAAATCAAATGTAAAATGAAATATAAAATACATTAAAATAGGTGTTGGGAATTTCCCCCAAAGTATTCGCTTTAATGTCACCAGAAACAAAGAAGACTCCAAGCTTTCACACTTTCTTTACGAATGACTAGAGAGGAAAAGTGCTTAGTGTTTACATATTTATTATTATTTATAAGGCGCCAACAAATTCTTCAGCGCAGTACAATGGGCATATGGCATGCATGTTTGTATGTATCTGTCTGTAGACTTACGCAGTGTATAGTCCTGCTTCTATGTACTGTACAGAGATTTGGAGAAGACCTGCAATTTCTATTGGAGCTAAGCAAACAGAGAATGACTTAACCCCCTAAGCGCCAAATGCTACACTTTGTCATCATCACAATCTTGTTCATGTAGACTTTAACCTAAGTAGATAGTTCCACTTACTTAGCTTCGACAGTTCTATATTACCCTTCAGTATTTCACTGAGTGGATCATTCACAATGTGGAATCAGATACTTAACGTTCACAGTAATGTGAATGCAACTTTAGACTGTAACTGACCCTTAAAGCGGCATTGTCACTTTGCAGGTTTTGATTTTAAATGATTTTTTTTTCTGTCCCTTTATTTCCTCTTTGGGTTTTTCTGTTTTAAATTTAGCTTAGAATTTTAGCTCAACATTTCACGTTTCGATTATTTTTTCTTGCAGCGAACATGATTGTTGAAGCACAATCCCTCAGTCAAATAAATCCTACAGAAAGGCAAACTGCAGATATCCTTTACTGAGAAGAACAAAATGGAGGCACCTAGATCTGGCGCAAGAAAGTAAAATGAATAAATCTAAATAAAAGCAGGTAGCACGGGAGAGCACAATCGTTAAGAAAGGTAAAAAAAAAAGCATGACAATGTGTATTTAAGGTTTTCGGCAAACTAGGTAATTGGACTAGAAAGTAATGTACAACAAACAGCCATTAAAGTGTAAGCTCCCCTACCAAGTCAAGGCAAAACATATTAATAAGTTACCGGTACTTTGCCCTACATTTTGCAAAAAAAAAAAAATACATTCACAAATTAGCAAATAAAATATATAAAAAAAAATTTAATTAGTTTTTGCCAATATCAACATTAGTAGAAAGGGAGGAACCTGGGAGATTTGACTAGCTAGACCTAAGCAAAACATGGGCTACGAAGACAGAAAGCCAATGGGGTCTCAGGTTACAGGAGAAAGATAGATAGATAGATTAGCAGTATAGAGATGCTGCTTTAAGGACTGACTGCAGGACCTCACCTAGTATAGTGCGTCCAGTTCTGGAGATCTTATCTTCAGGAAGCCAATAATTATAAATTAGAGACAATTCAATAATAAACAAAGTAAGATCTGTCTCATCGCATGTACTGAGAACGTCTGAACTGCAACAACTAAATCTGACTGGCTGTCAGAATATTTTCATGTCAAGGAATTATACGGAAATTATGAAAAATATATTACATAGGCCCCGGTTTAATATTCTTGGATAAGCCCTTCAAATTATTTAATATTTTTAGATAAAATGTTATTTAATATTTTGAACAATATTGGAATATTGTAATATTATTTGATATATTTACATTTTTTTGATACTTTTAAAAATCATGTTTTAAAAACTTATCCGGAAATATTAAAATCAGAGTCCCTACTTTTCCCTTCCATGTTGTTTTCTTTGTGATATCCATAACGTTATCATCTGCTTAGCGTGTCAAATACTCTAGTGACTTCAGACACAGTGTGATTTCATTAGCGGTTAGAATTTCCACCTTGAGCACACCATGGAGAAGCTGTTGTCACTAAATTACATCCCTTCTCCCAGTCTGAATTTATGGTTATTCACTTGAATCGATATTGTTGTGCAAACAGCAATTTAAAATCATTACAGTGCAAACTCCTAAATCATTTACATTTACAATTATTTATTCTTTAACCTCCCCGGCGGTATGATTATGTCAGTATTTTTTAATGTTAAAGCGGTACATTGTTTTTACAATGTATTGTGTGTATTTTTTTACACAAGGGGCTTGTAGGGACAAGGTAAGTGATACTACAGTGTAATCCCTAAAGTGGCTCTGGGTTACTGCTTTTCGTACTGAAAATTAACTCAGAGCCATGCTCGGGATTACCGTCAGGGAGGTTAAGTACTACACAATCTTTAATATGCCTTTCAAAAATAAAATACAATAATATATAACAGCACTATGTTCTCTTTTATATCTTAAAGGTATTTTAAAGGAAAACGATTGTATACTACACAAATTATTAAAACTATTTATCTTTTGCACTATAACGGTTTTACATAGTGTTTTGTGTACCGACATGTGTGTTTTACTGTAGTTGAATGGACTTTTTTGCTGCACTTTAATAATGCAAAAAGTCACTTGCCTAAAATAAAAACCAATTCTGCAGTCATTCATACAAGGCACTATTTACTTTAGTAACTCAAACCACATCTTTCTTTAAAGACTATACACCAATACGATCCAGAATTACCCAAACACAGGCCTCTAATTTTTGGAGAAGCTTTTCAAATAATTTCATATTTTTGGGTAAACTTTTACAATAATTTAATATTTTGATAAATATTTAGATTTTGTAATATTTTAAAATATGTATTTATTTTATACATGCGATATCTTGATATTTTAATATTTTGAAAAATGATTTTAAATGTTTATCCAAAAATATGAAATCATTTGAAAAGCTTATCCATATACATATAAATAGAGGCCATAGTTTAAAAAAACAAAACAAAAAAAAACTGTTTTCAGAACAGTTCTGGACCATATCATTCAGCAATTAAGGTGGATACAAATTACTTACAGTCATCTAGATCCAGCAGTGACATCTCCTTGGTCTCCTTGGCTGGTTTGGCTGCAGGCTTGCTCACCGGAGGCTGCACAGAAAGAGACAATATAGGTGACACTCCAAAAGGAGTTTAAGACGAAGCACAGTTTTGTCTAGTTACTTGATGCCAGTATTATACACAATGAGGAAGAGAAAAGGTGTCTTGCCTACATGTCTGCGAAACCATTACCCCTTTCATTCTGGGGTTGCTGTCACTGATGGAAGGATTCCTATACAGCTGTGTGAGGGTTCAGTCTGTAACAAGCATACTAATACGTAACCAGGTAGCTGTTTTTAGCGCTAATTCTCTCTATTATCTAACTAGGCTTCCTGCTTGGTGAAGAGTTTGCGATGGGATAAAAAGGACAAGACAGTGGTTGGATTCTGTCTACGCAAGGGAATTGGGGGAGAGGAAGCAGTCTGGTGCCCCATTGCAAATATCTCATCAGAAGCATTCTGTTTTCCCATTCAGTTTTCCTGACTACCCACAAAGTGTAAAGTGACATTTTCCAAGTTGTCATGTTTGTTTTTTGTCACAACGTTCTACCTGTTCTATAATTTTGAAAGCGCCCTACTTTACATAAAGGAATACGAAAAACTACCCAAGTCTCTTTGTAGTTTACATATTTATCCTTTATGTTTATATATTCCTAACAGGTAGCTAGATATTGTCAGTGAGCACCGTCAAATATACTTTATTGTGTGTATACAGTATATGCAAACTGTAAAAATGTAACATATCAGGCCTGATTCATTAGGGATTCATCTAGCTATAACAGCAATACAGAGAGAGACTAATACACTTACACTCTTCTTCTTTTTCGGTTCTGGTTGTGGCTCTTCCTTCTCTTCATCTTCCTCCGACGAGGACTCGCTCTCAGATTCACTGCTCTCCGAGCTGCTCCCCTCTTCAGATGCTGACTTTTGGGATGTCTTTGCAGAGGTCTTCTTCTCTTTGGTGGTCCCTCTCTGCTCTTGGTCACTTTCTTCACTGTTAAAACGATGGACAAAACAGTCCATTAACTGTTATTCATTTGGGCTCTAATTTTCTCCCCTATTACCCCTGTCATTCTTACTCAGTTTCAGACTCCCATTCTCCGTCCATAAAAACACATGTCCCCACTGATTGCTCACTTCCACTGTATAAATTCTGTGATTAACACCTTCATTCCCACACTTTTCAATTTTTTTTATTTTTTTTATTTTTTTTTTATAATTCTTTATTTTTGGTGCGTAGCGAATTATACAGGAGCTCGCCTTGTCACAACAACAAGGACGGGCACATTCGTGATAGTACTTTATAACATTTATCACACAGTGCATGAGGTTTGCAAGAAACTAGTACAACATTACGGACATTACACACATTTTTTATAAATGTAGTAGGGTTGTAGCCCCGGTTGAGGAGTCGGTGCATAGTAACGTATTTAGGTTGTGTGATGGTAATCCTCTACCAGGTCGATGTGAGGCAGTATGTGTGGGCTAGTTAGAGTGAGTGGATGCGGGGTTTTAACATACTGGGTGTTTGTTAGTAACGAGTGAGTGACGTGAGGGTGGTTGTAGAGTGTTGGTTTGTAGCTTCGTGGCTCATGAGGGTTGAGTGTGAGGTATTCGTTGGGTAGCCGGAGTAGTGGAGTAGGTAGTGTCAGGCGGGCTATGTGGTTCCCAAAAGAGGTACATGCCCCTAACCAAGGGGGCGTCGGGGGGGGTTGTACACCTCTGGTGGGTGTGCCTAGTGTGTATGTACCTTCGAGACAGGGCTTAAGCTGCTCCCAGTAGGGCCTGGCCATGGAAGGTATGAGTACCAAAAGGGTAACATGTTAGTATACACACTTTTCAAATTAGCATTTCATTGCTGGCCTGTTTAATAGCCCATTTCTACTCGAACCCCTGACATATCTAAATGTCTGAAAATATCAAAGAGGAGTCAGATGTATGTGTTAAAACTGGACGTGTCTTTAATAAGGGGCGCTTGATGACCTTGAAATATCCACTACATTTAACAGTATATTTTCTGGATTTTATTCTTCACAATAATATATCTCACAATCCATTTACCATACTTCTATTTCTTCTCAGCCACGACTATACTTCCTCCTCTCATTGTATTCTCTACGTCCCTGTATCTTCTATATCTCTGCTTGCCACCCAATTTCATGCATTTCTTTACCTGCCCTCGCTCGGTGGCGTTCTCTTCTTCCCCTTTTTCGTTTCCTCTTTCTCTGATTCTTCCTCTTCACTTTCTTCTTCCTCTTCACTTTCAGAGCCGGATGTATTTCCACTGCTGCTCTCGCCGCTCTCTGATTCACTCACTGACTCTGGTTCTGCATCAAATTGGTATTGGGATAATGCATTAGTGGAAACTGGTACATAGCTCAAATCAATCTATCTGGCACAGTGCATTACGGCATCACTAGTATTACTGTGTTCAGTGATCTCACTAGCATTACTGTGTTCAGAGATGGTTCACTAGTATTACTGTGTTCAGTGACTGTTCACTACCATTACTGTGTTCAGTGACCTCAATAGCATTGCTGTGTTCAGTGATGGTTCACTAGTATTACTGTGTTCAGTGATCTCATTAGCATTACTGTGTTCAGTCATGGTTCACTAGGAGCACTGGGGGCCTGATGTGCATGAACTGTGTGCACCACATGAGCATTCAATATTTCTCATAGGAAACAAATGAATCCAATGCTTTCTGTGTGTTGGCAGTCAGGAATACTGGAGGTGGATTTAACATAACCTGGTGGTCCTGAGAGGAACTTCCAGCTATTCCCACATCACATCAGGGCCACGGTGTGGGCAAAATAATAATAATGTTGGAAAGAACCCCTCACTCGTCTCCCAAACTCAAGGTGAGAATGGACAGTTCAACAATCAAAAGTATAGAAGGTTCCAGGATCTTCTAATTCTGAGTTTTGTTTGCTAACTTTGCTTAGTTTGCACCTGTAGTTAATACCAGGGGCGTTGATAGCTTCCAGAAACACCTGGGGCTGAGCCCAAAGTAAAACTTGATGAAGCCCTACACTAACAGAGAGTTGGGGATGTGTCATCACAGTAACACACCTTTCATTGTATGTTCCCTCCTCTCTATCCATGAACAGCGTGCTGCTGATACTCAATTAAAGGCAGGAATACAATGTAATTCCACCAAACTAGTAAGAGAGGGGTGTTCAGTACAGTTCTGATTTCTAGTCACCTGTGGGGCCCCACACCCTCCCTCTAACTAGCCTGGTAAAGCACTATACTACTGATCTTTATCTTAATAGTAGGTGGCAGCTGGAGTTGCTGCCTGATGTTAAATTAAACAACAAGCAAACAAACAAGAAAACCCCCACTAATATCGCCCCTCCACCACCTGTAGAGATTCCGGGCTAAACAGCTCCACTTCCGGGGCTTCAGCCCCCAAGGATCCCCTTCCCCCCAGGAACGTCTATGGTGAATATTCTCTGAATATAAGTCTCCAAATTGTTCCATCTGACCATAACCCTCACAGTGCCATGTTCACTGGCTGCATCAGGACAGCTCCCAGCCTCTTACCACTGTCTGCAGACTCTGTTGGACCCGATTCACCGTCTGAATCAGAGTAAAAAGGCTTCTCCTCTCTTTCCTTCCTTTTCTCCCTGCTTGGACACTTTGTCCATTCAGGTACCTGGGAGAAAAAACCAAGAATCAAGAAACGTAGAAACCCACAGGCTAGGGATAAATAGGATGTCAGAGGAACGCAGATAGCGAACGTAAGCCAAAGGTGAGAAGATTGCACAGCATTATCTGCTTACAGTAAATATGTAGCACGCAGGCCTAAGCAAAGTGTCTCTGAGTCCATCAAACCTGCCGTGAATACTGAATTACTAAGCAAAGTCTCTACGTGTCCATCAAACCTGCCGTGAATACTGAATTACTAAGCAAAGTGTCTCCGTGTCCATCAAACCTGCCGTGAATACTGAATTACTAAGCATAGTGTTTCCGTGTCCATCAAACCTGCCGTGAATACTGAATTACTAAGCAAAGTGTCTCCATGTCCATCAAACCTGCCGTGAATACTGAATTACTAAGCAAAGTGTCTCCGTGTCCATCAAACCTGCCGTGAATACTGAATTACTAAGCAAAGTCTCTACGTGTCCATCAAACCTGCCGTGAATACTGAATTACTAAGCAAAGTGTCTCCGTGTCCATCAAACCTGCCGTGAATACTGAATTACTAAGCAAAGTGTCTCCGTGTCCATCAAACCTGCCGTGAATACTGAATTACTAAGCAAAGTGTTTCCGTGTCCATCAAACCTGCCGTGAATACTGAATTACTAAGCAAAGTGTCTCCGTGTCCATCAAACCTGCCGTGAATACTGAATTACTAAGCAAAGTCTCTCCGTGTCCATCAAACCTGCCGTGAATACTGAATTACTAAGCAAAGTGTCTCCGTGTCCATCAAACCTGCCGTAAATACTGAATTACTAAGCAAAGTGTCTCCGTGTCCATCAAACCTGCCGTGAATTCTGAATTACTAAGCATTGTGTTTCTGTGTCCATCAAACCTGCCGTAAATACTGAATTACTAAGCAAAGTGTCTCTGTGTCCATCAAACCTGCCGTGAATACTGAATTACTAAGCAAAGTGTCTCCGTGTCCATCAAACCTGCCGTGAATACTGAATTACTAAGCAAAGTGTCTCCGTGTCCATCAAACCTGCCGTGAATACTGAATTACTAAGCAAGTGTTTCATGTCCATCAAAGCTGCCGTAAATGCTGAATTACTAAGCAAAGTGTCTCCGTGTCCAACAAACCTGCCGTGAATACTGAATTACTAAGCAAAGTGTCTCCGTGTCCATCAAACCTGCCGTGAATACTGAATTACTAAGCAAAGTGTCTCCGTGTCCATCAAACCTGCCGTGAATACTGAATTACTAAGCAAAGTGTCTCCATGTCCATCAAACCTGCCGTGAATACTGAATTACTAAACAAAGTGTCTCCGTGTCCATCAAAACTGCCGTGAATACTGAATTACTAAGCAAAGTCTCTACGTGTCCATCAAACCTGCCGTGAATACTGAATTACTAAGCAAAGTGTCTCCGTGTCCATCAAACCTGCCGTGAATACTGAATTACTAAGCAAAGTGTTTCCGTGTCCATCAAACCTGCCGTGAATACTGAATTACTAAGCAAAGTGTCTCCGTGTCCATCAAACCTGCCGTGAATACTGAATTACTAAGCAAAGTGTCTCCGTGTCCATCAAACCTGCCGTGAATACTGAATTACTAAGCAAAGTGTCTCCGTGTCCATCAAACCTGCCGTGAATACTGAATTACTAAGCAAAGTCTCTGCGTGTCCATCAAACCTGCCGTGAATACTGAATTACTAAGCAAAGTGTCTCCGTGTCCATCAAACCTGCCGTGAATACTGAAATACTAAGCAAAGTCTCTACGTGTCCATCAAACCTGCCGTAAATACTGAATTACTAAGCAAAGTGTCTCTGAGTCCATCAAACTTGCCGTGAATACTGAATTACTAAGCAAAGTGTTTCCGTGTCCATCAAACCTGCCGTGAATACTGAATTACTAAGCAAAGTGTCTCCGTGTCCATCAAACCTGCCGTGAATACTGAATTACTAAGCATTGTGTTTCTGTGTCCATCAAAGCTGCCGTAAATGCTGAATTACTAAGCAAAGTGTCTCCGTGTCCAACAAACCTGCCGTGAATACTGAATTACTAAGCAAAGTGTCTCCGTGTCCATCAAACCTGCCGTGAATACTGAATTACTAAGCAAAGTGTCTCCGTGTCCATCAAACCTGCCGTGAATACTGAATTACTAAGCAAAGTGTCTCCATGTCCATCAAACCTGCCGTGAATACTGAATTACTAAGCAAAGTGTCTCCGTGTCCATCAAAACTGCCGTGAATACTGAATTACTAAGCAAAGTCTCTACGTGTCCATCAAACCTGCCGTGAATACTGAATTACTAAGCAAAGTCTCTACGTGTCCATCAAACCTGCCGTGAATACTGAATTACTAAGCAAAGTGTTTCCGTGCCCATCAAACCTGCCGTGAATACTGAAATACTAAGCAAAGTGTCTCCGTGTCCATCAAACCTGCCGTGAATACTGAATTACTAAGCAAAGTGTTTCCGTGTCCATCAAACCTGCCGTGAATACTGAAATACTAAGCAAAGTCCGTGTCCATCAAACCTGCCGTGAATACTGAATTACTAAGCAAAGTCTCTACGTGTCCATCAAACCTGCCGTGAATACTGAATTACTAAGCAAAGTGTTTCCGTGTCCATCAAACCTGCCGTGAATACTGAATTACTAAGCAAGTGCTCCCCATGTCCATCAAACCTTGCCGTGAATGGAAATTGGCCAAGCAAAGTGTCTCCTCGCGGTTCATCAAAACTGCCGTGAATACTGAATTACTTGGCAAAGTTTCTAATGCGTCCATCAAACCTGCCGCGGAATACCTCGAATTACTAAGCAAAGTGTTCCTGCGTCCATCAAAATCCTGCCGTGAATTTCCGAATTACTAAGCATAGTGTGTTTCGCGGTCCATCAAACTCACGCGGAATACCGGAATTACTAAGCAAAGTGTCTCCGCGGTCCATCAAACCTGCCGTGAATACTGAATTACTAAGCAAAGTCTCTACGTGTCCATCAAACCTGCCGTGAATACTGAATTACTAAGCAAAGTCTCTACGTGTCCATCAAACCTGCCGTGAATACTGAATTACTAAGCAAAGTGTCTCCGTGTCCATCAAACCTGCCGTGAATACTGAATTACTAAGCAAAGTCTCTACGTGTCCATCAAACCTGCCGTGAATACTGAATTACTAAGCAAAGTGTCTCCGTGTCCATCAAACCTGCCGTGAATTCTGAATTACTAAGCATTGTGTTTCTGTGTCCATCAAACCTGCCGTAAATGCTGAATTACTAAGCAAAGTGTCTCCGTGTCCAACAAACCTGCCGTGAATACTGAATTACTAAGCAAAGTGTCTCCGTGTCCATCAAACCTGCCGTGAATACTGAATTACTAAGCAAAGTGTCTCCGTGTCCATCAAACCTGCCGTGAATACTGAATTACTAAGCAAAGTGTCTCCGTGTCCATCAAACCTGCCGTGAATACTGAATTACTAAGCAAAGTGTCTCCGTGTCCATCAAACCTGCCGTGAATACTGAATTACTAAACAAAGTGTCTCCGTGTCCATCAAACCTGCCGTGAATACTGAATTACTAAGCAAAGTCTCTACGTGTCCATCAAACCTGCCGTGAATACTGAATTACTAAGCAAAGTGTCTCCGTGTCCATCAAACCTGCCGTGAATACTGAATTACTAAGCAAAGTGTCTCCGTGTCCATCAAACCTGCCGTGAATACTGAATTACTAAGCAAAGTGTCTCCGTGTCCATCAAACCTGCCGTGAATTCTGAATTACTAAGCATTGTGTTTCTGTGTCCATCAAACCTGCCGTAAATGCTGAATTACTAAGCAAAGTGTCTCCGTGTCCAACAAACCTGCCGTGAATACTGAATTACTAAGCAAAGTGTCTCCGTGTCCATCAAACCTGCCGTGAATACTGAATTACTAAGCAAAGTGTCTCCGTGTCCATCAAACCTGCCGTGAATACTGAATTACTAAGCAAAGTGTCTCCATGTCCATCAAACCTGCCGTGAATACTGAATTACTAAGCAAAGTGTCTCCGTGTCCATCAAACCTGCCGTGAATACTGAATTACTAAGCAAAGTCTCTACGTGTCCATCAAACCTGCCGTGAATACTGAATTACTAAGCAAAGTGTCTCCGTGTCCATCAAACCTGCCGTGAATACTGAATTACTAAGCATAGTGTTTCCGTGTCCATCAAACCTGCCGTGAATACTGAATTACTAAGCAAAGTGTCTCCATGTCCATCAAACCTGCCGTGAATACTGAATTACTAAGCAAAGTGTCTACGTGTCCATCAAACCTGCCGTGAATACTGAATTCTAAAGCAAAGTCTCTCGTGTCCATCAAACTGCGTGATACTGAATTACTAAGCAAAGTGTCTCCGTGTGTCCATCAAACCTGCGTGAATACTGAGATTACTAAGCAAAGTGTCTCCGTGTCTATCAAACCTGCCGTGAATACTGAATTACTAAGCAAAGTCTCTACGTGTCCATCAAACCTGCCGTGAATACTAAATTACTAAGCAAAGTGTCTCCGTGTCCATCAAACCTGCCGTAAATGCTGAATTACTAAGCAAAGTGTCTCCGTGTCCATCAAACCTGCCGTGAATACTGAATTACTAAGCAAAGTGTCTCCGTGTCCATCAAACCTGCCGTGAATACTGAATTACTAAGCATTGTGTTTCTGTGTCCATCAAACCTGCCGTAAATGCTGAATTACTAAGCAAAGTGTCTCCGTGTCCAACAAACCTGCTGTGAATACTGAATTACTAAGCAAAGTGTCTCCGTGTCCATCAAACCTGCCGTGAATACTGAATTACTAAGCAAAGTGTCTCCGTGTCCATCAAACCTGCCGTGAATACTGAATTACTAAGCAAAGTGTCTCCATGTCCATCAAACCTGCCGTGAATACTGAATTACTAAGCAAAGTGTCTCCGTGTCCATCAAACCTGCCGTGAATACTGAATTACTAAGCAAAGTCTCTACGTGTCCATCAAACCTGCCATGAATACTGAATTACTAAGCAAAGTCTCTGCGTGTCCATCAAACCTGCCGTGAATACTGAATTACTAAGCAAAGTGTTTCCGTGCCCATCAAACCTGCCGTGAATACTGAAATACTAAGCAAAGTGTCTCCGTGTCCATCAAACCTGCCGTGAATACTGAATTACTAAGCAAAGTGTTTCCGTGTCCATCAAACCTGCCGTGAATACTGAAATACTAAGCAAAGTGTCTCCGTGTCTATCAAACCTGCCGTGAATACTGAATTACTAAGCAAAGTCTCTACGTGTCCATCAAACCTGCCGTGAATACTAAATTACTAAGCAAAGTGTCTCCGTGTCCATCAAACCTGCCGTAAATGCTGAATTACTAAGCAAAGTGTCTCCGTGTCCATCAAACCTGCCGTGAATACTGAATTACTAAGCAAAGTGTCTCCGTGTCCATCAAACCTGCCGTGGGGCCACTGAATTACTAAGCAGTGTCTCCGTGTCCATCAGGCACGTGAATACTGAATTACTAAGCAAAGTGTCTCGTGTCCATCAAACCTGCGGTGAATACTGAATTACTAAGCAAAGTGTCTCCGTGTCCATCAAACCTGCCGTGAATACTGAATTACTAAGCAAAGTCTCTCCGTGTCCATCAAACCTGCCGTGAATACTGAATTACTAAGCAAACTGTCTCCGTGTCCATCAAACCTGCCGTGAATACTGAATTACTAAGCAAAGTGTTTCCGTGTCCATCAAACCTGCCGTGAATACTGAAATACTAAGCAAAGTGTCTCCATGTCCATCAAACCTGCCGTGAATACTGAATTACTAAGCAAAGTGTTTCGTGTCCATCAAACTACAAAGTGAATACTGAAATACTAACAAGTGTCTCCATGTCTATCAAACCTGCATTGAAATATACTGAATTACTAAACAAAAAGTCTCGTGTCCATCAAACCTGCGTGAATACTAAATTACTATAAAGTGTCGTGTCCATCAAACCTGCCGTAAATACTGAATTACTAAGCAAAGTCTCTCCGTGTCCATCAAACCTGCCGTGAATACTGAATTACTAAGCAAAGTGTCTCCGTGTCCATCAAACCTGCCGTGAATACTGAATTACTAAGCAAAGTGTCTCCGTGTCCATCAAACCTGCCGTGAATACTGAATTACTAAGCAAAGTGTCTCCATGTCCATCAAACCTGCCGTGAATACTGAATTACTAAACAAAGTGTCTCCGTGTCCATCAAACCTGCCGTGAATACTGAATTACTAAGCAAAGTCTCTACGTGTCCATCAAACCTGCCGTGAATACTGAATTACTAAGCAAAGTGTCTCCGTGTCCATCAAACCTGCCGTGAATACTGAATTACTAAGCATAGTGTTTCCGTGTCCATCAAACCTGCCGTGAATACTGAATTACTAAGCAAAGTGTCTCCGTGTCCATCAAACCTGCCGTGAATACTGAATTACTAAGCAAAGTCTCTCCGTGTCCATCAAACCTGCCGTGAATACTGAATTACTAAGCAAAGTCTCTACGTGTCCATCAAACCTGCCGTGAATACTGAATTACTAAGCAAAGTGTCTCCGTGTCCATCAAACCTGCCGTGAATACTGAATTACTAAGCAAAGTGTTTCCGTGTCCATCAAACCTGCCTTGAATACTGAATTAAACGCTCATTTCCAGTTCTATTTCAGGTGAATATTTGCTGTTTGCAATGATCATTGTGATATTTTTACAAAAGAAAACAAAGTGGCACATTTGAGATATTGATCAGACTTTGTCGTTGTAGAAACAGCATTAAATAATTAGGGATTATTCTAGCCTCGGTGAGGGAATAATCTAAATTTTATTAAAGACAGGAGGCGAATATTTGCTTTACCTTCTTTACTGAAACCTCCAGCAGCAAAGAAACAGTTAACAGAACTTTTCAAAACAACCAATCAGAACAAAGCAACAGTAGTATAAAACCCCTAAGCAGGCTCTTCCACTTCCTCTTTCTTTGATGAGGTCGAGCAGGAGAGCAAGGAAACCAACGAATCCACCCTGTAGCAGATACGTCCAGAGAAACAATCGTCAAGCCCAGAGAGAAAACAGATTACACTGCAAGAAAACAGAAAACATCGTGAAAGTAAACTGTCAAGGCAAGATGTCATATCCATACAATATCACTTTCACATCATAATACCTGATGAATAAACAAAGTCTACAGATCTTATGAAGACCTAGTATGTACCTAAGCTAAAAGGCATTGACAAAACATAATTACAACACAAACATGATGAATAAAACGCACACGGACAACCATCACTGAATATTAGAAATAACCTTTATTATGTAAAACCATGCATTCACAAAACATAAACAATATCCCCAATTATTTATAATAGAATAAAACCCAGATCCAGGGAGGGAACGTAAAAAAAAAGGGGGGGAAATATTCGCCTCCTGTCTTTAATAAAATTTAGATTATTCCCTCACCGAGGCTAGAATAATCCCTAATTTTATGGCAGGACAGGAGGCTTCATATTTGCAATTTTAACGCCCAAATAGTAGAACCAGAAGCAATATGAGATAGAGGACTGAAATAAAGGAGAATGGAAAAACTTATTCCCTAAACCAAGCAGCGGTGTAGAGAAAATGCAGAAGGGACCCAACAGCTTCCAAAATTGTTGAGGTGACAGCACCCTGAACCAAAAGTGTCCCAGAGGAACTCAAGGTCAGTCAATGAGAGGATCCACCAAATCCAACGGGTGAGCGAAGATGCAGAAACAGTCCAAAACGGCTGTACGCAGAATTAAACAGCTGTCCATGAGTAGACGGACGAAAGAACCAGATCCTGGATCTACATGGTCGTGTACAATCTGTCAACAGAGCCGTGGCCTATCCGGAGAATAGGGGTACGACACAGAGGACGAATAAAAATGAAATGTGTGGAGCAGAAGCCGATGTACTGAACGGCAAGAAGGAAGAAGATACGTCGATACCATGACGTCAGAACGCGATGAAATAAAAGATGTACTGGGGGGAAACCGTAAGTGGAAAAAACTGGTGCACCTTGTCATCAGGTCATTCCTCAATGAAATCCAGAACACACGATACCACTAGACTTGAGGAATAGCGAGAGATAGGGCTCCCGTACGGTATACTCCTCTTGGTAGACTGCAGACCAAGAGATCCTTAGCAATGCCAGAATCTTGAGAAAACGCACATGAGTCGTCCACTAGCTGACATAGGACGTGAATGGCCCCATACAATCCTACCCTGAGAGGGCAACTCAGCCAGACAATGGGGACAGCCATGATAAGGACCGCCATTGGGACCCAAACACCATTCATGGCAGGCTACCCCTGTGGCATTAAGAGACAGGGAGTCGTAGATTGCCTTCCCATGGCAAACTCCAGCAAAAAGAGGAAAGCACGCAGGACTCCTCCGAAGTGGTTTGGCCAGGCGAAACGACACTTCCAGGAATTCGGTCTGAAGCAAAACCCAAAGTATCCTGTAGGTAAACGGGATGCGTACGCCCCGAAGGAGACCAAGCTTGGAAAACTCGTCCCTCGCCGAGGATCCGGCAGCCAGTTGGAGAACCGCTCCGTATGGCGGTTCGCACCGAATGTAATCATGCCAGTACTCGAGATCCTGGAGGGTGAGGCAACCAATCATCGGGGTCTCTCCATGGTCGGGTGAAGCCGTCCGCCACACGAGTGTCTCGTCCCGCATACATTCTGTCACAAATGACGAATACTTGTCCAGAAGCTATAGATAGCGATCCTATGTGAGATCCGACTGCAGTCCATAGTGGGCAACCGGTGAGAAGTCCATACCGGAAGGTAGCGAGCAATACTGTGAATGTTGAACAAACCTGCAGGTAGTTCCATGCAGTTGGCGTAAAGGAGTCCCTCCTCCGGAGTCATCAATTAAGTTTTAGATGAGCTTCATCCGAAGGTCACATGATTTGGTCATACAAGGCCAAAGACCCGAGAAAGCGCCATGTTGGAGCGGCTGATAGTACCGGATCCTGGAGGTATGGCTTCCATGGCGAATAGGCACCGGTCAATTAACCGGGTTGAGCCCCTAAGTGTAACCCGCGGGTTGCAGAGTATATACCTGGTATTTTCCTTGAAGACGGACATCTTGGTCCACGGGAGGCGGAGCACCGCCTGGACCGAATATTCCATGAAAGACCGGAAACTGGGTTGACTGGGAGTGAGTCGGATTCAATATGTCCATGTTGATGGCAAAATCCATGCGGGTTTCTCTCATGTGCATTTGAGGGAGAGAACCAATCGTCAACGCCGAGCAGCTCTCAGAGGGGATGAGTGCCCTCCATCTCAAAATGTGTCAACAGACGACATATGCACTGGGAGCATGTAGCGTGGGGATGGGGCGGGTGTCCACTCCACCGCACCCTTTGCCCAGCAGGGCAACTGCGGAATGAGTCGGAACGGATGCCTCTTTTGGTCATGCGTATTGCTCATGGAACGGTCCAAGGTTCCGCAACCTTGATCTGGAGTCCGGGCACGGTCCGAGAGACCTCTGTGATTAGCTAAGGTGGAACCCTATGAATAGAGATGTGTCAGCTCAATTTGTACATGAGGGTAACTCCGGAGAGCAGACCCAGCACTTGGATGCTAAATCCATCAGTTTGATGTCCAGCTTGGACAGGGGCCGTTTTGCGGTTCTCAGGGGTAGAAACCAACTAGGCGATACCTATAAGTCATATCGGTCCATTCCCAGTGGGAATTTAGTCTTCTCCGCTTTCCAAGCGGTAACGCGCCGTTCGTCCCGAGGAAACATCTGTGTCCGTATGTCACTGACATCCACTGGTTAGTCCCAGATAGAGTGCAAACCCCGTGTCAGGTGTTTGCGGTGTCCTTTCCGGACTCCGCCATGAAGACTGATCCTCTTGATGAATCCATCCGTTAGCCAACGAGTACCAGGGGTGCTTGGTGTAGCGTCTAGGATGGCCGGTGGAATGTTCCCGTAGGGTACCGATGGTTTCTGGCAGTGAGGTCAGCGGGGCGGCAAGAGGACAGGCCAAGTGACCTTCTGGGTACAGGAGATTTGTCCTTCAGCCGTGATTGCACAACTGCCATAGAGGTAACACTGTCGGAATGATACCTGGTGCGGCCAGCTGGGGGTCACCCAGCGTGCAAGAGGGGGTCACCCAACAAGCACAAGCATACCATGCAGTATAGGCCTGCAGGGGAGGGGGTCACCCTCAGTCTGAACATAATCGGACACTGTAGGTACAGTGGTGCGGCCAGCTGGGGGTCACCCAGCGTTCAAGAGGGGGTCACCCAACAAGCACAAGCATACCATGCAGTATAGGCCAGCAGGGGAGGGGGTCACCCTCAGTCTGAACATAATCGGACACTGTGGGTACAGTAGTGCCGAAGTGGTTAGCCGTATAATAAAGTAACCAGACATTGCCAGTCCAGCAGTGTAGACGGCAGGAGGGGGTCACCCTCATATAACCAGAACCGGGCATTGCAGATCCAGCAGTGCTGTAGGTAAGAGGGGGTCACCCTCAGTGTGGTATCATAGAGGTCTGTACACCCAGCAGTGTAGTCAGCTAGAGGGGGTCACCCTCATTATGGTTATAATGGGACCCTGTAGGTCCAGCAGAGTAGTCCACAGGAGGGGGTCACCCTCAGTATCTGCGTATTGCAGGGCACTGTAAGAACAGAAGCTCAATCAGTGGGAGGGGTACCCTCTTTTATGGGAATACCCGGATGCTGCAGGTCCAGCAGTGCAGACTGCAGGAGGGGTACCCCCTCGGTATGATAATAGCAGGACATTGCCGGAGCATTAATATAGGAAGCAGGAGGGGGTCACCCTCAGCATTAATCTTACAGGACGCCGTAGAGCCAGCAGGGTACTCATAGGTAGCCATGTTGCCAGAGGGAGGGGGTCACCCAGCCCACAATGGTGTCACACGTCCATTATTATGGTCCAGTAGCGGGTAGAGCCCCAGAAATATGGATGGGGGGGGGTTCACCCCCCAATAATAACAGGTCTGAATGTGGGGCCAGTAGCCCCCCTGAGGGGTAGGAGGGTCCATATAGCGAGAAGCTGACTCACAGACCACTCAGGTATTATATTAGGATTCACTTTTGAATTGTATGTGTAGTGGAAAATTTAAGTCCCTTGCAGGAAGGGCAGCAAATCCTAGGCAGGGGAGCTAGGTGCTGAAAAACAGGCCATTTAAATTTTTATGAGAAAAACACTGAACCTTAGAGAAAGACTTGATTAGCATATAACACATGTGGCATAGTCTTGTTAAACAAAGATTTTTATTTGAGCAGTAACGTGTCCCTTTAAATCTGAGATTCACATGTAATAGTAAAAAAGTGTGACAAGTCTACTGCTAAGATAGAGAACCTAGTCACATTGCATCAGACATAGTAAGCTGCAGTTGTGAGTGTGCCCTGGGACAGATCCTGCTATCCAGGATCTGTTACATATGCAGCATGTGAGACAGGCACAGTAAGTAGAGGGATAGCTGAAAAACTGGGCTATCTCCCCTGATATAGGGAGAGGGGAGGGTGGCCACATGGCCAGCAGGCCAGTTCTTGGGTGAGACCTGGCTGTTTGCAACGCACAGAGCCCATGTGGCTCTGAAAAATGGCCGCCGCGGCTCCAACAAAATGGCTGCTGTGGCTGCAAAAACAGAGCGCGGCCTACCGCGTGGTGATCGTGCGGCACTGCCACGGTAGAAAAGGCTGCTCAGCAAGCGGCCAGGGGCCACAGGGAGCAGGTGGGGAACAAGGGAGAAGGGTATGGGCGACAGAGCCCAGCAGGGGAACCTGGGGAGGGGGAACAGATTACAGGCAGAGCCAAAAGCATCATAGCAGGGGCACCCATTCCCCATACAGCAGAGTGAGAAAACAGAATAAAGTAACCCAGAATAACAATAAATCAATGAGCAGTATCCAGAATCTATCAGATAAATGGCCTAAATACAGCAACAGGTGTTAACAAGTGATACAGCAGCTACATAGCATGAAGTGGTATAGGAAATAACACAGAATAAACTGCCTAGCTAAACCCAGCAATAGACTGCCTAGATAAACACAGCAATAGACTGCCTAGCTAAACACAGCAATAGACTGCCTAGCTAAACACAGCAATAGACTGCTTAGCTAAATCCAGCAAGAACCCTGCCTAAATAAAACCAGCAATTAAGCTGCCTAAACAAACCTAACAAATAGACTGATTAAATAAACAAGCAGCATGTAGGATAAAAAAACAACCCAGAGCAGAGACAACTCTGAGTTGGTGAGTGCTCACCTGGAGGCAGCAGCAAAGAAAGAGGAAGTGGAAGAGCCTGCTTAGGGGTTTTATACTACTGTTGCTTTGTTCTGATTGGTTGTTTTGAAAAGTTCTGTTAACTGTTTCTTTGCTGCTGGAGGTTTCAGTAAAGAAGGTAAAGCAAATATGAAGCCTCCTGTCCTGCCATAAAATTAATTACTGGTAAGCCAACAAAATACAATTATCTTGCTATACCAGCATCAACGAGCCAACAATTAATATGCACTCAAACAAAAAATATCACAATTATCTTTAACACGTGAAAGAAAAAGGACCGAACACATCAAAACTTAGAGAATCAATTATAAGTACATCAAGTCAAACCATCCAATCTGCCCAGAAGATTGCTAAACACATAAAACAGAAACTGATCTATCTATCCGTCTGGTAATCACTTTCATGCCTTGAAGCGGTAGAGTAGAGGCTGAATAATGTAATTAGAATTGTGTGGTTTAGATTGTTTATTAGAGGGAAGGTAAGGAGTAATGAGAATTGGATTACAGGAACTGGTAACTGATGGATTAACAGAAAGCACATAGAAATAACAAGCAATTCGGGCCAGGAGCTTTCTAATAGAATCTATTGGACCAATAACGATAGGATTGAGAAACAGTAAATGGAGCAATAATCGAGACAAAGAAGAATAAAGGTTAAAGGAGGAGTGGGGAGGAGGATTATTAATGAGTAATAGTGGAGGTGTTATATGGGCAGTGAAATATGAGATCAGTAGTAGGGAGAGAAATAATGCAATATGGGGCGAGATTGATAAATATTACTCCGCGGCAAGATATACTCTGTCCACAGTGCAAAACCACCACTTCAAACCAAAACCAAGCTAAATGGACGTGCAAGAGTTTTAAAGAGACAGCACAGCAAACAGTGTGAGACAAGCCTGTAGCATTCCACAAACACCTGTTTCCACTCCCCCAGGAGTCCGATGTGACTTTCCCTGGGAACAATGTCCTCCTCCTCCTGAGAAGAACAGGAGACATGTCGGTGATGAGTATTTTCCACGTTCTCTAACATATGCTTTGACAAACTGGTAATCACTGACCGAAACCATGGCTATGACCCCTCCCCCTACGCCACAAAAATATCACGAAGAATTAAAAGAACCGTATCTGCAACTAGTCAAGTCTTGCATTTACTTCTTGAAATAATGAAACAGTACGAGGTATTGACGTATTACTGGGCTTAATCACTGCTAAGATCTGAGTAGACTCATTGCAATGATAACAGTGTTATTTGCATAGGATCAAATCCATTTCACAGTATAAATGAAAATTATTGCACCCATGTATGTCCAGCGGCAGAAATGCTATTTATTTTACCAATCAGTGAGTTTAGCTTTATGTGAACAGCTTGTAAAATTAAAATAAATAAATAAAAACCACTATGGAATATTGTTTAAATCTGGAAAGTGCATTAGAGAAGTCGCCATTTAAATGCAGTTGGCCATCTTAGATCCTACAGCCTCTTGGCCTGTGAGAGCCTATATTGGCCATTAGTGTATGCAGTCATGCCCTGGCATTGCCCACTGCACAGGCGGCCATCTTCCAGGATGAGGCAACTGATCAATTTGTGCTATTACAACTATATACACTAGGAAGCACAGTTTATCATTATAATCAGACATAGCAGGGGATTTCCACCTGCACATTAAGGGGTTAAGCCTTGCACATTAATAGCAGGAAGCAAAGCATGGTATAGATTGGTAGCTCTGCTTGGAAGAGGAGGAGGTGCAGCCTGGCACAGCAGGGAGTTTAGCCAAATACAGTAGGGGGTATTCCCCATGTCCCTATATACTCATGTTACAGCACGCACAGCTTCCTTCACCTCCACGTTCCGCACGGATGGGTCAGGGGCTTCCTCTGGCCAGTCAGGCAACTCCTGGTACCCGACAGCCTTGGCGTTCAGTAGGTGTGATAAGGAGCCCAGCTGAAAGTGATCCCGATCTGTGGAAGATAAAATAAATGATGACCATCTCTCTTTCGTTCCCATCACACTTTTCACTACCCGCCAATTCACGATTGTCTTGATTTCATTTGGCACAGTGTAGGTAGTTTCTTTTTTTTTAAATTCTTTATTTTTCACTCAATAGACATAGCAAGTGTACATCCACTTTTGGGCTTACACAGAAGCCAACTTGAATACAATTCTTGGAAACATAATGCAGTTCAACAAATACAATACATGCCCATTCCTTAAAAACCATTGGCACCTGCCGTCTACTGAGGGTTTTTATTTTAAACAAGGACAGGTATTTAGGTGATATAAGTAGCCCATTCTATTCAATAACTAATCTTACTCATGTGCTACCTTGTTCCACTGACAGTATGATCATGCCTGGAAAAATAAAAAAGGCCTCATTCCCGAGGAAAACCAGGGGAAGGGCCAAAAAGGAAAAAAGAAGAACAAAAACAGGTGAGACAGAAAAGGTATGAAATTCTAAGAAAAAGCAAGAGAAAGAAGATATATAGCCAAGAAAGGGTGAGCAAAGAGGTGAGAAAGAGGGGGGGAGGGAGGGCTGGGGGGAGGACGGAGACCCCCGCAATGACAGCACGATAATTGTGTCCCTCTTAAGGAGGGGTCTTTTCTAATTCGGGATGTATGTTCCTCGGGCTCCGCAACCCCTCCAACAGTCATCAGTGTCCATTTTGTGCATTCTGTATAGTTTTACTGGCGTGGTATACCACCTAAGCATGGTTTTCCATGCTTGCTCCTGGAGAGTGACACATATTGAAACTGTGGCATTCGCCTCCCATATCTCCTGCAACTCAACTCCCTCCAAGACATCCCCGAGGTCTGTCTCCCATTGATCTGTATATGTCAGTCTTCCTCATTCTCCATTTTCTGCACTAAGGTGGGCATTTAAAAGCGTGATCATACCCTTGGGGGCTGCCCCATCCAGGCAAAGCCTCTCATAGGAGGTTAGGTTTCCCAGGGCTGCTGTTTTAATGTGTGGTCTTCTAGCGAAATCGCAGATCTGAACATATCTAAAAAAATCCACAGGGGTTAAGTGACTGCCTTGTTGGAGTTCTGCAAATTGAACAACCTCTCCATTTTGGTATAACTGGTGGGGCCGTTGTAGTCCGGTTCTTTCTATATTACGAAATTCTCTGGGGGCCATTCCAGGTATTGGACTCAGAGGGGAGGGGGACGATGCCAGCCCATATTTGGTATTACATGAGTCCCATATTCGGATCGAGTTGAGTATGGCTGGACAAGTTATCCGTATCGCAGGTCTATGTTCCCTAGGAACCCACATTGTAAACTGGGGGACATCCACCCCCACCATCATAGACTCAATTTCCACCCACCTTCTCTTTTCCGGCGGGGAGTGCCACATGGCCACCTGCGTCAACTGTGCCGTGAGATAGTAGAAATATAGGTTCGGGAGGCCCAACCCCCCTCTGTCTTTACGTCTATACAGTATCTGTTTGGAGATTCTATGCCTCCTATTCTGCCAAATCAAATCCCCTATCGATCTTTGCAGAGGAATCAATTGAGTTTTTGTGACGCGGACGGGCAATGCCTGAAATAAGAATAATATGCGTGGAAGGATGTTCATTTTCACAGAATTAATCCGACCTATCCAAGAGAGAGGTTTATCCGTCCACTTGTCTAGGTCTTCTATCAACGCTCTAAGCATGGGAACGTAATTAGCAATGTATATACGTCCGGGATCTGCTGTCAGATGAATCCCTAAGTATTTTAGGGAGTCTATTTCCATGCGGATTTGGTAGGTCTCCCGAATCCGAGCTGTATCGGCCTCCGTGAGACAGACTGGAAGAGCACTGGATGTTTGCCTTGTATCCTGATACCGTACCGTATTCTGTTATTACCTCCTGTATAGCTGACATCGATTCCGTCGGGTTGGTAATGGTCAGGAGGACATCGTCCGCGTAGGCCGATACTGTAAATTCTTTGTCACCCACCCTAACACCACTAATGTTCGGATGCCGACGTATCGCTTGTAGCAAAGGCTCCAATGCCAATACAAAGAGGAGGGGGAAAGAGGGCACCCCTGTCTGGTTCCATTGTATAGCCTAAATGGGTTCAGTGGGGCTCCCGTTATCTGCACCTGTGCCCGCACATTATGGTACATCGCTCTCGTTATCGTTAAATATCCTTCCGGGAAGCCCATACTCCTCAATACTGGGAACAGAAATTGCCACCGGACCCTGTCGAAGGCCTTTTCTGCATCTATGGATACCACTAGAGTGGGCGTCCCAGTAGCCACTTGTTTCCAAATCAAATCTATATTCCTCCTGGTATTTTCAAACAATTGCCTGCCTTGGATAAAACCGACCTGGTCTGCATGGATGAGCGAGTTCAACAACGGGTTCAATCTGTCCGCTTGTATCCTCACCAGAATCTTCAGGTTATGGTTAATTAGCGATATGGGTCTATAATTTTCTGGATGAAGTGGATCCTTTCTTGGTTTGGTCAGTAACACGATGATAGCCAGAGACATGTCAGGGTCCAGTTGTCCTCCCCGCCGTAGGTGGAGATAGCTTTGTCCACTTCGTGTTCGGTAATATCTGCCGCCAGATTACTTACTGCCTCTCTGCTCAATCTGGTCATCCCTAGGTTGTCCAGGTATTGAAGTATATGATCCTCTTCATGCTCCCCGTGGGGACTTCCGTCCGGTGTGTGGTTGTACAACCTTTTATAAAAATCTTCAAAGACCCTAGCTATCTCAGCCGGTTTCGATTTTGTCGTACCGTCAGGATGTCTGATGGCTGTAATGTAGGACCGTTCCTGCCTGGGCTGAAGCGTCCTAGCCAGGAGAGTGTCCATTTTGTTAGCCTTTTCAAAGTATGTCCGTTTTGACCAAACCATGGATCTAGCTGTATCATCCAGTAATAGTGTACGGATGCCTCTTCTCACTGCGAGTGTAGGTAGTTTCTAGCTCTGTCTGCTGCACTGCGGAAGAGTCTGCATAATAAATTGTGTTTCGTACTTACAGGTTGTGTTAATACTGGTGACCAAAAAATATAATAAGGATATCATGCAATTTCTGTTTTGAATGGCCTTTAGTAGAAAAGTTTTTCTAATGTAAACCATGTAAATAGGATATAATTACCTTTAAATGAGGACTCGAGAATGGGGGCAGGTTTTAACGCCAGGAAGAGCTTCTTGGCATGCTTGCTCAGAGCGCCACTCTTCTCTGTAGGAACAATCAGCTGGCGGATAAAACGTGTGCGGTCTCGGATGTCATAGTTCTGGTCGTACTTGGCCAAGTTCAGCACATACTGAGTAAGGAGCTTTGTCTGATATTAAAAATGAGATAACTGCGTTATTAAGGAGGGAGATAATTAAGGAAGGACATAAACACAGAAGGAAATCTGGAGAGGCAGACTGTGTCTGCTAGTCCGCCATCATATTCAATAATGCCCATGTATACTACTACTGTATACTACTTGGTAATTATCTTAACAAGCAGGTATATGACTAGCACTGTCTACTCAGTTTATAGGTGGCCATGCCTTTGATTGCAGCTGAAAGGAGGTACAGGAGGTACAGATGTAGCAACATCTGCCATTGAATATATCCCTGCATCCGAGTTACCACCACCATGGTTAAATACAATACATACTGCTGTGATCCACTCTTTACGAACCTGCTTGGAGTTAGTCAAGTACAGCTTGGCAGCCAAGTTGATGGTCTGGAGTTTAACAATGTCTTCCTCATTAGTGAAGGATTTGGCCATCTTCCTCAGTACATCAGGAGCAATTTTTGGAACATGTTCACAATACTCACCAATGAGCCAAATTATGCTGGCGCGAGCCATGGGCACCTAGAAAACAACAAAGGAAGATTAAGTCACAGTAATGTCCAAACTAGAACCACCCATACCGCAGCACTCTGTAACTAAGAACCTGGACATTCCATCACAAATAAACATCCAGACATCAGGCAAACAAAGCACATGGACTCCATGAGTGCAGTCCCGCTTCTATTATTCTCTGATTTAAAGCTTAGCTCAACTTCGGACAATCTGACCTACCTGGATATTGTCAGTTAATTTGGCCATGTGTTTAATTATCTCGCTGTGCTGTGCTGGTTGCATCTGTAACAGCTTCTTTATCACCACCACAGACTCTGCCACCACTAGTTCTGCAAAACAACAATCATGTGTTTACGTGAAGGAGAAATAGTTTTCACATAAATCGGATTCATGCAAAATCGATCATTGTTCATTCTCAGTCTAGCTAATAATTATTTTTACCCATGTCATCTTTCTTACCATCCCGGTTGGACAGCAGTTGGACGAGCCCATTAAGGCAGGTGTCTCGCACTTTACCAATGTTGGTAGCACATCTGCCAATAGCCTGTATAGTAGCAGCCACGAAGTCTTTATCCATGCTACGGATGTATGTCTGAGGAATGTAAGACATTGAAGGTCATCATTGGTCCATTATTTTCATTAATAAATAGTGCTTTCTTAAAAGGTACTAAATTGTGGAATTAGTGTAAAGATGTGAAATCTGAAGATTTGCACCACAAATACCACGGAAAGATTCTGGAGACATCATAATCCACAATACTAAATGTTGATCAGTTTGAGAATGTCCCCAGAACATTGCAAATCCACATTTTATCTGAGAATGCTAATACTGAGGGACACTTAAATTTAAAATATATTCTATATTTGTATATTTATCAATAATTTACCTAATTCATTTTAAATGTATCCACACCTATTATATATTTTTTTGTTCAAGAGAAAAAGGGCTTTCATTTCACATTAAGTAAATGTTTTATAAATGAAACATAATTTTTTTATTTTATTTATTTATTATTTTTTTTTATTTAATTCTTTTTTATTACAGTTTTTCATGAAAGTATTAATAGACAAAGACAACATCCATAGAAGGGAATCTTACAGAAGAAAAAAAAATAAGGATTCCCATCCGTATTAGACATACATACATGAACAATTTTCTATTTCAAATTTCCTCACTAAGCCGTCTAGGACATAAACTGGGAATACGTACATCCCCTCAGCTGCATATCGTAGTCCAAAAACGGCCTGTACAGAACCTTATAAATATATTAAACAAAAAAAGAAACAAAGACAAAAGACAAGACAAAACTGGTCGTATGTGTTGCAGATCCAAAACCACCTTTTAAGGAAAAGAATAAACAATATAAGGCAAAGGCGACTAATAATAGAACCCCCTCTGAGAACACTCTACCAACCGCGGGGAAGTCGTAAAGGTACCCCACTAAATCATTTACCCTAAAGCCTCTTAATTTTTTGGACAAGGCTAGAATAGAACGTCAGGGCCTTCAAATTAGAAAATTCTCTCATAGACATTAATTCCTTTTCCATCTCAACTTGGAATAAAAGTTGTGCTTTAAGTTGATCTCTCGTGGGAATATCAGAACTTTTCCAAAATCTAGCAATTAAAATTTTAGTAGCCATTAAGCAATGTATGATCACAATATCAAAATTATCCTTTATCTCTGAGCCCAAAAGATGGAGTAAAGCAATTTCCGGTTTGAATTCCAAATAAGAACCTCCCAATCTATTTATAAATTCATATGTAATCATCCAGAGAGATTTGATTCGGTGGCAAGACCACCATATATGAACCATTGATCCATCAAGATGAAAACATCGCCAACAATTAGACGGGTTAGTAACAGAAATTTTAGCAAGTCTGATAGGAACCAAGTACCATCTATACAACACCTTTATAAAGGTCTCTAAAATATTCAAACAATGAATAATTTTTTTGGTCCTCACAAAGGATTTACACCAGTTATCAAAAGGAATAGAAATTGCTAACTCGGTTTCCCATTTAGTTAAAGCTTTAGGAATGAGAGGAGTCCCTAACATCTTTATTAGTTCGACTGCAATAGAGAAAACCCTTTTAACAGGATCCCCCGAAAAAAGTTTCCTGAAAATTATTCCAAGTCGGCCTTCTAAAACCAATATATTATCTTTCAGATAGCTCTTAATACGGAGGAAGTTAAATAGTTCTCTAGAGGGTAAATCTAGCCAATTTTTCAAAACATCAAAACTTTTTAGTTGATGGTCCTTATAGAGATCTTTTATCTTGTAGTTAAAATCTTTATACCAATTTGACAGGTTTATCTCTAGCATAAAACTTTCCAACGACCTCAAACTCAAATTCTCATATATTTTCCTGTTAATATTCAACTTCTTTTTTATAGACGTCCATTCTTTTAAAGTCTGTAATAAGGACATAATTTAATATGAAATTATGAAACATAATTTAATATTGATAAAACCTAAAATAGTGGGAGAAATTATGTAATTTTCCAAGTTCTGCATGCCATTTATTTTTTTTGTAAATATGATTTTTATTTTCATTTTTCAAATCAAGGCAGTCCTACTTCGTTTGGACTCGCAGGTCCATACTTGGTGAGGGCATAGAGTAAATCAGCAACATTGTAAGGTTGGGTAGCAGTGCGGGCTCGCAGGCCCCACAGACAATGTGGACTCTGCATGCCATTTTAATTGTGAATTTCATAATAGCTTTTGTGGAAATAAAACACAAATTTGTATGCTGTGATGTTTCACAAGTACAACGATGCCCCTCATGTACACGTTTTATTGGGTTTTGGAAAGTTATAGAGTCAAATATAAGGGTTTCAAATTAAATTACCTGGTATTTCTTAGAATTAAATTATATATATTTAATTCCAAGCATATTTTGATGTATATTATATCATACTAATGATTGTATATCGGAGGACCTGCCTGACACACCAGACAGTCCCCCTGCATTCAATCCAGCTGATCGGAGTCATGTGATCACAGTGTCAGCATGGTCACATGACTCAGATTGGCTAGACCGGCTGCCGTCCCGCGAATGCAATCACCACTGTAGGTAAGTATCCGGATGGTAGAGAGGGCCAAGTTGTTAAGGTGTGCTATGCTGCCCAAAGTCATTAAAGCCCTCCTTTCGTAGGATGGCAGAGCAGACTCTAACGTCGGGAAGGGGTTAAAGAAACAGTTATTCATCAGAAACCAGAATTAAATAGAAATACCGGATTTCTCCTCAGAAGAAAAAATAAAGTCTCAATCCATAAGAAGTAAAGAAAAAAGGAGAATGTTTACTGAAGCAACACCACGGTTAAGGCTTACAGTAGAAGGATTGAATCAATCTGACGCATTTCGTGACCACTGTAACACTTCTTCAGAAACCCTCATAATTATACCAACAAAGATTTCAAAGAATTACCTGGAATTCCCGCAAGATGGTGGAAATATTGGTTTCGTTAGCCAGGTTTGTTAAGACTTCCAGCTTTAAAATAAAAGGAAATAAGAAACGATAAAAGGTTATTATGATTACGTTGTCATTACCAGAAACACTGCATAGTCCATATAAAGGAAATGATTAGGAAGGGAAGCTAATATACTTTTATTCCAAGAATATACTAAATTCTGAACATTCAATCCATGATAACCATTCAACCATAAACAAAAGGATTGTGGATAAAAAAACAATTTCTAACATGCATTTTAAGACGACAACTCGACAACCGTGATAATAATGCTATTATAAGTAAGTAATAAAAAAAAAATGCAAGACATATGCTTGGTGTTACCTTCAGAATCTTGATCTGGGTCGGGTCGGTGGATCTGATGTAGAAACTTTTTAAATATGGTTCAAACATCCCCTGTGGAGAAAAGTAAAATAAACAAATGTTTCAACCAGGATCTTCAAATTACTGGCCTGATTCAATGGCAACAATTGGGAGAATATAAATAAAATCGTCAAGGTATCCCTGTGTATACGTAATGTACAACTTAGGTACATTGATCACTGATGGCAAACTGGTCACAAAATGCAGGACTATTTATTTACTAGTGTGGTTTCAAAATTCAGGTCATAATAGAAGAACTGAAAACAACAGTTACTATTTTGGAGTAAAATCTAATATTAACTTTTAATGCTGAAAGTTGAGTGACTAATCCTGACAGTTAGGCAACAAGTGGACTGAGGTGAGCACACAAAGTGTGCAGACTGTTTGCTGTCCAAGCCAGCAGATCTATCTCTGGAGAGAGGTTTATGAAGCCCCTGTGGTGGGTTAACCACACCTGACGCATGTTCTTAGAATGTGAGAGCATCATTTCCCAGGTAAGTATAACAACACTGTAACAAGCCTCTCAAATCAATCTGTTGATCAGCTTGGCAGGGAAGCCAAAAAAATAAATCCCCAGCTGTTTTGGATTTCCCATGTTTTACCAGGCAATGGCTAGGGATTGTAGCAGTGGTTTAACTCGGGCCAGGTTTAAAGATCTCCCTTACCAGCCAGCCGATTTTCCTATTGTGGGGCCAGGAGAGCCAGCAGGGCTGACGCTCAATAACGTATCACGGCAACGCTTTGATACAATGCCCCGGCACTGGCCAGAAGGATCTGTCTGCAGACAGCAACATCTCCCACCAGACCACCAAGGATCGGATTCCCCCCTCCCTGGCCCAAGGTAAGGTAAGCATCAGAGAGAGGGTAAACATTTTTAAGTGGCTTTTCAGCTTCCCCATGCTACAATCCTAGTCCTCCCATTACAGGCCCCTGTCCTCCCAGTATAGCCACTATTACCCTTCCCCCACTACACCACTACAGCCCCTATCCAACCACGCCAGCAACTATCCCCCAACTACAGCACATATCCCTCACCACAGCCCTAGCCTCCCCCCCCCACTACAGCCCCTATCCCCAATGCATATATCAGATTCCATTAATAGATGGAGAAACCCCATGTCACTCGTATCAGACTTACCCTTCTCTTGATGGACATAGTGGCCACATTCTGAAGTACCACGTACTGTACCTCACTAGTGTAGGAGAAAAGTGAGAGAGACAAATCATAAATATTTTGACAATTCTAAACAAAACAAACAAGTGAAGAGTTGAGAAAGTAAATGAGAGACGTTTAACTGGGATTTGACCAGAATCTTACAACAAAATCAGCAGCCTGATCAGTTTGGCTGTATTGTCCTAAAATAATACATTCTCAGGTAGATTCACTTCAATTTAGTGAATAACCAGAATACATGATATTAGTGAAGGTGATATATTTTTGGCTAACTAATTATACTTCTATTTAAAGATCACTCAGGTCCCTTCATCAAGCAGACAGCGTTTCAGAGACAGACAGAGTTATTCATAAAGTGTGAACGGCTTGGAATTCATAGATAGTTTTACAACCAGCAAAACTGAAAACAGCCGCATTGGAGATATTTTTTTCCTGTTTGGCTATTGTGTAAAGTCACACTTTAGTAAATAGCCTTAGCAGACAGACAGCTCTGAACATTAACCGTACGGTGGTCAGTAACAAGGTTTTTTTTACGTACCATGACCATCTCTGCACTTAGAAGTGGTCATGGTGGTAGGAATCTGTGAGTGCAGCATTTCTACTTGAAGTGCTGCACATACAGAGAAATATGCACGTTTGTGTTGGGTTCTAGTTGCACACCCAGCAGCCCAGAACTCTATTCCATAATTGCATAATGTTAATTCTGTATAAAGAATTTGTCTGTCATCCGCGCAGACTGCGAGCAGACAACAAACATAATGCGTTACTAACCCCGCAGGCAGTCATGGGGCTGTGCCTGCAAGGGGAAGCTTACGTTTCCCTTCCCAATGTCCCTCCTTTCGTGAGATACATATCCGCATTTACAGTTATTAGTTTTTGATTTATTTTTTTTAAATGTATCTTGTCCACCACCTACTTCCTCCAAGCATTTGACTGGATCTTGCATGGAAACCAGTGTTGGTAGCTTTGCATAGTGCAGGAGGACAGCGTGTGAGGAATGGGTCCATCAAATGATTCTCTTTGAGAAGCATTTGACTAAACTTCATGAGGGAACAGTGAAGTCAGACGGGACATAGAAAGCAACGCTGGGAACTAGATCAGTTAGCTGCAGGCACAAGCCTGAACACTAACAGAATAACAGACAGCTTACAAGTGATTTCCAATGACGATATTGGCATTTTGGGTGCTGCTTCTCCTACCTGTGGCTGCGGAGTAAACGCACTAAAGCCTTTGCGATAACTCCAACTTCTGCTTTTGGAGCCAGGTGGAAATACAACTGAGCCACTGCCATAACCACCTAAAGAAAAGATAGTAATCAATATATTACTCCAACCCAGGTGGCAAAAATAACAATACAAATATGCAAACGCCTATTGTTTTGTTTTTTTAGGTTTCCAGTAAAAATAATAATGTAAAATAAAAAAATATCTCAAAAAGGCACCGAAGGCGGTGAAAACAACAATATCTTCTGCAGATACAGCAGGAACCCACAATTATAACAGAGAAAGGGGGCTAGAGAGGGGACAAGAGAATAGGAGAAAAAGAGACAAAGGCGGGGAGATTGGGAGGGACAGATCATTGTGGAACTGCAATGAAAGCAGATACAAAGGAGAGATTGATAAATAAATCTGAGAACCTGTACTTGGATATCTTTGGTTAAATATGCATAGCCTGCAAAATGGCTGAACCCTTGCCCTGCTCTCTGGACTGGACGTATAAAAATGCAGACTAACAAATAGCTATCAATATACTACTAAAAAATTTTCATCAACGGTGTAGTTTTCTAAAGCACATAAAAGATACAGGTGAGATAGCTTACTGCGGCATTGCGGCTTTGCAGGAGGGGTTTTGTGTTCCGAAGTAGAAGACGGTGATCGGGGTCCATGACGTATGGTTTGCGTTTCACTACTGGTTCTGATTTCTGCTCTTTACTTCCTTCATCATCATCTGATCCATAAAAAGCTTTCTCTGGGTTCTCTTCAAGTAGAGACTCCTGCCATAGATCCGGTAGAAACAGGTTAATGTTAAATCACCTTGTTTATGCAGCCCTAGCCACACCTCTCCTGGCTGTGAATCACATAGCCTCCATGAAATAAGTGGTTTCATTTTCAATCATTAGAAGTTCTTATCTAATGCTCTGCTAATTGAACTCTAATCACGCATGCATGTTGCAGGCTCTAGACGTCTATTAACAGAGCAGGAGATCTGAAATTCTAAATTAAACAGACTGTGCAATAAAGGAAGTTTAAACATTTCAATTCTTCTTCGTAAAGTGGTTAAGAAGGATGAGTGAGTCTTAGCCAGAGGAGTTGTGGCTAGGGCTGCATAAGTAAAAATATTTAACTTCTCAATGGCAGAGAACTGAGTAATAAGAGGGGCATGATCTATACACCAAAACAACTGTATTAAGCTAAAGTTTTTTTGGTGCTTAAAGTGTCCCTTTAGGGTCTTGCTGTTGACCACTCTGTTTGCTGTGTACAATATTTAAAAGTAGTTTTTATTTTTAATTTTAAATCTTTGGTTCTTTCTATCTCTGTAATGATGTATTAGATGTTGTATGTAATGATATACAGGTACTGTAGGAGTGTTGCCCCCCCTTTTTTATGATAATCATTAATTCTTTTCTATTTAACATTCAATTTCATTTTTACTTTTACTTCGCTATTCTTCATTGGTTAGTTTCTTTTTAGGGAGTTACATAAAATATATCTTTAACATATTTTGCACATTTTGTTATATATGCGATTGGATTTTACATGTAATGTTACGTAAGGAAAGAAAAACTGCCTTTTTTATATCCTACAATTCATCAACTAGATTTACATGTACAGTTGTGAATGGGATATAGGGGTGCTTCATAAAGAGCTGCATTTTATATTAGCCCCAAACTATTGAATAAGCAGCTTTGGTGAAAAGCTTAATATTTTTGGCTGTTCTTTATTACAAGTGAATTCAAATGTCATTGCTTTTAATTGAAGGGAAATAAAGCATGGAGTTTAAGTTTATTGATGAATTGATTTAACTTTGCCCATTTATATACTTTTCCTTTATTTAGCAATACTGTTTTTACACATCAGTTTCAGATTGACGGGATTATTCAATAGAATGGATGAATTCTGACCTCTTTGGCAATTCTCATATTCACTGAAGCCAAATGTGGTCGGAATACATTCGGTGCCTGGATTAAAATTGGTGCTTTTGCATCCGAATCCTATATAAAGTATGGGATTTGGAAGATTCACAAAGCACCAGTTTTAATAAAATTCGGGGCAGAATGCATTCAGCAGAAAGTACGTTCACAAATAATCATTCACTTGCAAGTCAATGATAATTGTAAGTACTATTTGCCTGTTGGCATTGCTAGCAGCGAGCGGGCAAATAGTTAAATAACCCTCGGCAGTGTGAGGGTTAATTATGTGGCGGCTGGCCAACGTTCTATACTTCTATTTCTTCTTTTCATCAGCCAAAAAAAGACAAATAACAATCCATCATAATCTACGCTAACTAATGAAAATTTAAAAAAAAAACGCTTATTTGCAAAAAACAAAACAAAAACGCTGGCAAAAATTTTAAAACAGACCGCAACAAAAATTAATCAATCTTCACCCCCTTTTTTTTTTTATTAAAATCTCCACCCGATGGACATAGGTGAGGTCAAGGGGGTCGACGGTAATCTGTCTACACCCCATTTCTTTTATTTAAATCTCCCTCACCCAATGCCCATAGGTGGGTACTGGGGGTTGAAATCCGTACCAAATTCAGACACATTTGGGGCCTGATTTACAAAATCCAAACATTATAGAACAGCATGAACAATATTTAGATTTTGCAGTGCGAATGGCTCCGTACACTTCCGGATGGTTTTGCCCCATTAGGTAAGCGGCCATTCGGACTTCAGTAAATTATCTTGTAAATTTATATTTTGCCTTTGAATAAGATAACAACATGAGCAATAAATAATAATAAAGCAAGATACGGGATGCTCTGTGTAACGCTTACATTTTGGTTGGGGTTTAAGAACTGGGTGCGTGCGTAGCGAGTCAGCATGTTGATAATCACCACCTGCCCCCATTCCTCTACATCAATGAGCAGGTTACAAAGCTTGCGGTAATTCTTATGGATCAGGTCAATTCGCTCCGGACAGACTTCTTCAAATGCCATGACGACGCTACCCGCGACCAGCTTTGGGGAGAAAACAAGGGGGATTCACATCTCTACAGGGCACTTAGACACAGTTCAAGCACAGTGCAATATGTGACCATGGAGGAAACTCACTGTAGTTTTATCAGACAGAAGCTTTTCTATCACTTCGATGAGCTGATCTTTTTGGTCTGAATCCAAGCTGCAAAGATAGGAGGGGAAAAAGGAGGATAACAAACTAAAGCAGAATGAGAGAGCGACAGGGATGTATAGTATCAGAGGAAGGCAGACATAATTGCCAGCACTCAGCAGGAAAATTCCCCCGGTTTCCAGTGACTATGACACGATGGAAATAATCTTTATAGCAATGAAATGTGCAACGAACATGATTTTGATTCCTGCACAACGTGATAACAGATAATTGGTTCTGATCACAATCTAGTGCCAATATGTGATCATTAACATTTTCTAAACATGATCACAATGTAAAAGTACCAGAGCTGATAACATTGAATTGTAATTCTCCCTCTCCGCTGGATTGGCACTCTACTTCCGCCAATGTCATCTGATAGGGTCACGGGGGGCTAATGCTCAGCAAGCGCCGCAAGTGCTTGAGGCACTCCCTACAGGAACGCATTGCTTCAATGCTTTCCTATGGAGATTTTACTGACATTGGATGTCCTCATGCAGAGCGTGAGGACGTCCAGCATCAGTTAGGCGACCAAAAGTTGATTAGCCACCAGGAAGTGCTGATTGACAGCCATTAGAGGCAGTCTTAGTTTTGCAATGTAAATATTGCAGCTTCTAAAAAACTGAAAGGATTTACATTGCAAAACTAAGAGGGACAGGGACCCTGCACCCAGACCACTTCAATGAGCTAAAGTGGTCTGGGTGCCTAGAGTGTCCCTTTAAAGGGAAACTCCAGTGCCACGAAAACAATCAGTTTTCCTGGCACGGCAGGTCCCCTCTCCCTCCCACCCCCCAATCCCCGGTTGCTGAAGGGGTGAAAACCCCTTCAGTCACTTACCAGAGGTAGCGACAATGTCCCATGTCAGTGCTTCTTCCTCCGCCGCCGCTCCTCCCAGTGATTGCGTCGGCCACAGGCCGGGGAGACCTAATGCGCATGCGCGGAAATGCTGCGCATGCGCATTAGAGCTCCCCATAGGAAAACATTGAAAATGCTTTTCAATGCTTTCCTATGGGGAATTGAGCAACGCTGGAGGTCCTCACACAGGATGAGGACATCCAGCGACGCTCTAGCACAGGTTTCCTGTGCTAGGGATACGGAAGTGCATTCTAGTGGCTGTCTAGCAGACAGCCACTAGAGGTGGAGTTAACCCTGAAAGGTAATTATTGCAGTTTAGAAAAAAACTGCAATAATTACACTTGCAGGGTTAAGAGTAGTGGGAGTTGGAACCCAGACCACTCCAATGGGCAGAAGTGGTCTGGGTGCCTGGAGTGTCCCTTTAACTTCATTCATCAGCTTTAACCCTACACTATTTCAAGATCGAAACTGCAAGATCGTGAGGTTATCAATAGACAAAATGGATGGAGTAATTGTGTTCACTTAAGGGGACACTCTAGACCCCTAAAGCGCTTCAGCTTGCTGAAAAGCTTTATGTGATAAAAGTGTGTCCTCTTTTTTCAATTTGCAAAAAAACATTTTTATAAATTTACCTGGCTACAAGCAGACAACCAGTTCTGTTATTTCCTGTTTTGGTTGTCTCAGTAGAGATAAACTCAAGAGGCAGCAATTGCCCAGAGTACCTGCAAATACCTGGGAAGTCTGTGATTGGACAGACACAGAGTCCAAGTCTGGGAGAGGTTATAAAGGGAGGGTTTGCAAAGGCAGCGGACAAGAGATCTGCAGCTTTTGCAAGCTGTTTTTAGATTTATCCCCAATGAAAATATGCATAATTAAATGCAGGAAAGTTTACATTTTGGGTACATCTACTAAACCGCTATTTTTATTTAATTTGTATTTGGGCAGATGAGTGTCCCTTTAAGCTAGAAAACTTAACATAAGGTAGAGGACACTTTTAAAAAAAATAAAATGTTAAAGGTGTCAAAAGCGCCAGAAAAGTGACATTGATAATCATAAGCAGTTGTTAGCAGGTTGACAATTATCAAACAGTTATGCTGGTTACCAGTCATTAGTATATGTGATACGGCAGAGAATGAGACACGTATTAAGCTGCCTGTGCTATTGTACAGAGTAACAGAAAACCTGCAATAGTGGAGGTACTTTCATTATTCATTACACTGATAGGAATAGAATAATTCATTAGATGTATCACCCACTTACATAACAAGGAATAGATTATGAGACAATATAAAATGACCCAGTCTGATTAGCTTACATACGTGGGCAGTTTAGATAGATTTTACACATGGCTGCAGCTTTGTTGACTTTTATGGCTTTTAATATGGGTCGTACCATGAGCTACATAGATGGGATATGCAGAGTGCTGCCTGTGAGTATTCAGAATTCACATGGTACAGTTAGGTACAGGAATAGTGTGGCCCAGTAGTTTGTAGAATTCACATAGTGTTGAGCGTGACACAAATAGTGCTGTCCAGCAGAACTTAAATTCCGATGTTACACAAGATACCAGTTAATGCCCCCATAGGAACCACCAGGATTACTAGAGTGATTTCCCAGGCAGAATGTGGAAATCATAGTTGTCCAGGAATATATGGCCAATCATAATCTCTCTAATGTCATTTTGAGATGGAAATCGTGTGTGTAGCTTTTACGATCTGTGAGCAGTGCTGTTACCTGTACAGTTTAGGGATAGCATGAGCTGCTGTTTTGCGCACATAGGGTGACATGTCTGAGGCCGCCTCCTTTATTGCCAACATCATGATTGGCACAATGATTGGCACCCGGATACTGGAAAGAACACGCAGGGCACTGGCACGGATCAGCTGATTGGGATCCTGAGAAAGCAAAGCACAGTCACTGAATAAACATATAATGGAGTATGGTATATACAGTCTGCATTAGCATTATTACAAACTGAGATGCTGGCTGTTGCCATTTGGTTATCAGAAAAATCATCTCATCTTTATGCTGGATAGCAGTGCATTGGAGGAAAAAGCAAAGCATTTCATATGATAATCTGATGCTAAAATGAAACATATATATCACCTATTGTCAGCCACAGGTAGTGAGATATAAGCAAAACGCAGCTTGAGAACAATGGTAATTAGGAACGCTTTGTGGATTGAATTAGAAGGTTACTTTGAGTTAAATGTCACTATTCTTTATTATTAGTGCTTCAGGATAAAGCCCTGAGGAGGACACATTGTAAAAACAGTGGTAACATCTGACCTTTAACCCTCGTTGAAAGGTGGAGATGGAGAGCAGTGCTAAATCCTGTTGTTCCTCAGCGTATCGGACCAAATAGACATAAACCAACTTCTTCACCTGGAATATAAAAGTACAGAACACTCCAGTACCCAAGGAAGGATTACAGATTCTCAGCTCATGACTATGAGAATAAATTCATAAATAACTTAAGTTATAAAAATCATCCTCCGCAATGCTCAATAAATGATACAATGTAGTGCACAACAGCTGACATCATTAAAGATGGACTACATTCCCCAAGGTCCTCAGCCAGTCATTGGGTTAGTTATCAGTGACGGGGTATGTAGAGTTGCATATCCCGCTAGAGGGGATATTTTGAAATATAGCTTGAAGTAATTTCCTTTTTGAATGAGATAACGCTACCTCACACCTTATTGAAGGCGATGAACTTGTGATATTATTTTCACCGTACCTCTATGTTCTTGCAAGCCACGTTTTTCACCACAGCTGGGAATAGGTCCGATGTGTTCTTTCCTCTTGCGATCATCTGAGGATGAAAGAGTATAGAAGAGGAATTATGGCATGACATGGAAGGGACAGCACAATGCATTGTATGTTCTGCAGGGCTATAGGGAAGGTGATAGGAGATTATACTCACGGCTACGATCCTTTTCATAGCTTCCAGCTTCAGAGAATCTTTATTACTGTCCAACATCTCTTTCAGGTCATCGTGTCTATAAATAAAAACATACATTGAAAAACGGGTTAAGTAAATCTAGAGTCCGCCACCATATTACTTCATGGTTTGCTAAGGAATCAAATTATAATTGTTTTTATTATTATATTTGTTCATTCATTAACCCCTTAAGGACACATGACGGAAATATTCTGTCATGATTCCCTTTTATTCCAGAAGGTGTGTCCTCAAAATTTAGGAAAATTGCTATCTCATATTTATAGACACGTTAAGAACTGCTGATGAGCTGTTAATGATGGTGACGCAATCTCAATCCCACATTTCCTCTATTTTCTGACACTCCTTTTGCCATTATCAGATTGGTGAAAAATGGTACTGTACCGCATGTAAAAAAAAAAAAAAAAAACACGTTTTGCAATCATAAAAATGCACAAGAGGCTGTTAGAATTCATCATTGCTGCTGTTAAAATAAATCAATTTGTATTGGTCTGAATGACTCATTCAGTTATGTAAAAGTTAGTCAGATCAGCAGATCTTGAAGTCAGATAAAATGTTGTAGGATAATGAACTATTTGGCCATACTCCAAGCGTCTTAGAACAAAAATATCTCTCTTTGGCCATTTTAAATATTGGGAGTAATGCAAAGTTTAGGTCCTCGCCCCAAAGTATTAGCATGTTTCCCTAACAGGACATTCCAAGTAGACTAAACATATATATAATATACGAAGTGCCCAATGCATACTTTTCCCAAGGTTAAGATGTGTAGCTCTTGCTCAACAGTGAGGGTGAATGTTTTTAATTTGCAATGAGGGGGAATGTTTTGAATTTGCAATCAGGGGGAATGTTTTGTCTAACCACAATTCTTTCTATTTTTATTCTTAGCTTCATGCTATAAGAAAGGCTCCTGACCAGAACCAGCACCCTGCTGATGAGACCCATACAGTTCATGGTTTGTCTCTGGTTTAGTTAGTGCTCCAAACATGATATCTCTTCTAATTTGCATATTGACCTGGGAATTCTGGGAGAATTCATAAACATGGTTTCTCTGTGCCCAACGTAACTTATGTGCAAATTTAAATTTTGAATTTGTATTATACATATAATCAATTGCAATATGTAGGCATAAAGTGCTTATTTGGAAAGATTTTTCTAACTCACCTATAGTTTACGCTCACCTATTTTAGCCTGAATGTTGCAATTTAGGCTACAACAGCCAAGCTGTAATGGTAGTTGTTACGTTGTTGAGTTTTTCCAGATTAGCTTTTTTTTAGCCTGAATTCTGCCTTTCAAATTTCCATTTTCTACAATTTAGGGTTTATAAAATTAACCCCTCAATATTTAACTTTGTAATGTTTGAAGTGTGAGTTACCATTAATCCACATGGCATATATTTGAAATGGATGGAAGAAATACATTTGAGTAAAAAACATTGAAAGTGCCCACCAAGCAAAGTGAATGATTGTACTTTTTATAAGAAAGTTAATGTTTGCTTTTCCAGATGCCACATAACCTGACACTGGACTGTGAAATATTTAGCAATGGTCTCAGGTTGCACTTCTGTGAAAGAAGATAGGAGGCTTCAGATGGTAAACTACGTTCCCTGTAAGTCACACTGCAATAACACTGGCTAAATATCTTTTTACATGGGATAAGTGAGAAGCAGCTCTTTCATTCATTGACAATATAATAAAAGTTCAAAATAAAAAGTATTCAAACAAACAAAAAAAATACTTAAGGAAAAAAGATCTTTTTATACTGATAATTAAATTAATCAAGATGGCTCAAAATACCCCTACATGACCCTTTTACATAAAAATAGCAGTTTATATAAACAATTTCCAATTTTAAGATTCTCTCTCTCTTTTTTTTTTTTTAATTAGTGACAGCAAATTTACTGACATTATAAGATTAGGGAGAAAAGAGAGAGGCGAGACTGGGAATTCTACCAGCATTTTTGAAAATTACCAGAAAATTGCAAATTCTAGGCTGAAATAGATCGAATTAAGAATTTTTCCAGCTATAAGTAGCAATCTTCTGTCCGATTTACAAAGCAAAGGAAATGTGCAATGCCCCCTGACGCAAACTCGGGTACTTTGGCGAAACCCATTCACACACTCTCTGGTTTAAAAGGATTGCAGTTCTGTGGTTCTAACTGTGATTCTTGTGTTTAATGGCACTGTGTACCTTGCATACTTTTTTATTTATCTACGATACGTCAGGGAACTTTCCTTGCTTGTATGCATATCTTGAACCTACTGTATTACCGATATTTATAGCCTATTCTTTGTAAATCAAGCATTTCAAACTCTAAGGCTTACACAGGCCAAATAAACAAGATTTAAAGGACCACTCTAGGCACTCAGACCACTTCAGCTTAATGAAGTGGTCTTGGTGCCAGGTCCAGCTAGGCTTAACCCATTCTTTTATAAACATAGCAGTTTCAGAGAAACTGCTATGTTTATCAATGGGTTAAGCCTTCCCCCAAAGCCTCTAGTGGCTGTCTCATTGACAGCCGCTAGAGGCGCTTGCGTGCTTCTCACTGTGATTTTCATTGATAATGCTTTCCTATGCGACCGGCTGAATGCGCGCGCAGCTCTTGCCGCGTGTGCGCATTCAGCCGACGGGGCGGATCGGAGGCGGAGAGGAGGAGGAGAGCTCCCCGCCCAGCACTGGAAAAAGGTAAGTTTTTACCCCTTTCTCCCTTCCAGAGCCGGGCGGGAGTGGGACCCTGAGGGTGAGGGCACCCTCAGGGCACTATAGTTTATGTGGGCCGCAAAAAAACTTCAGTTTTCATAGAAACATAGGTTTATGTAGAAGAGTACAGTATAAAAAAAGTTGCCTAACTAACACTGGACGTCGTCACACTCTTAGGTTTTCAAAGGAAACGAAAGAGCAAATTTATTTTAAGCAGATGCGCATTTGCATATAACCAATGTTTCAGTCCAACTACCTTGACATAATAAGAAAAGTTTGGTAATGGTACTGAAATGGTGAATGTATTCCAGTTTACAGCTGTAAAAAAAAATTGCGTTATCTTATGATCTATATGGCGTTATCTATATGATTTTGAAGTTCTATGAGTGTGATGATCCTTAGGAAAGCATTGGGAGGCTGTAGCGGAGTAGAGGTATCATCCACGATATCTCTGCTGGTAGTCGTAGTCAGCATACAAAATACAAGTAGCGTGATAAGTACAATCCTTTTTTCCCAAGAACTGGACGACACACAGTTTGGGAGTCAACTGAGCTTTTATTGCACCACAGCCAGTTTTATACATATCCCCATGCAAGGGGTTTCCTTAATGACATTCCAGGGGCTTTCCCCTGGTGGACTCTGTGGAAAACTTAGTGTACAATAATATCTCCCATCATGCTTTTCTGTACTGGAGAGATAATTGCGTAAGAGTACACCTTTAATTACATTATCTCTCCGTACAGAAAATTATACAATATAACATAAAAATAAATAGAATAGAAATATGCCTCTGAACTTCACGAAAGTTCCCGTTCGTTGGAATAGAAAAGCCATTCGAATGAAGTTATGGACCGGACAGCCACGAGACGCGAGCCCCAAAATAGTTCCAGGTAATTGTAGGCTTTTACCGGTCTTCTTTCGGGAGTTCCTGTGAATGAACAGTCGAACATATACGGGAATGCACGGGCTAGTTGGGTATGGGAACCGAACGCCGCTCTAGTTCGACGAATGGATATATCCAATACGAACGGCATGGAAGTCCAGCAGTGTTCGTGAGGTCGAGCAGCCGATTCTAGTTCCATGCACTCGACGACCAAACACCGCTGGGCGTCTGTGAGCAAAGATAGCCGCCGCCACGTGTTCGGTTATACGAATGGCGGCTACCGATTAAAGAGTTCTGCGGTTTCCCCAATGTTGCTAGTTGTTAATTGGAGACACACGACTGCATCCTATAGGGACTATCTTCCAATAAGAGACACTGCATTCTATAGGGACCATCTTCCAATAAGTGAGACTGCATCCTATCGGGACCATCTTCCAATAAGTGACACTGCATCCTATAGGGACCATCTTCCAATAAGTGACACTGCATCCTATAGGGACTATCTTCCAACGAGTGGGACTGTATCCCATAGGGACTATCTTCCAGTGAAGGAGACTGCATCCCATACGGCCTACCCTCCAATGAGTGGGACTGCATCCTACAGGGACTATCTTCCAATAAGTGAGACTGCATCATATAGGGACAATATTCCAATAAGTGTTGACTGCATCCCATATGGACTATCTTCCAATGAGTGTTGACTGAATCCCATAGGGACTATCTTCCAATAAATGGGACTGCATCCCCTAGGCACTATCTTCCAATGAGTGTTGACTGAATCCCATAGGGACTATCTTCCAATGGGTGGGACTGCTTACCATAGGGACTATCTTCCAATGAGTGGGATTGCATCCCATAGGGACTATCTTCCAATGAGTGGAATTCCATCCCATAGGGACTATATTCCAATGAGTGGGATTGCATCCCATTGGCAATATCTTCCAAAGAGTGGGACTGCATCCCACAGGCAATATCATTCAATGAGGGGGACTGCATCCCCTAGGGACTTTCTTCCAGTGAGGGGGACTGCATCCCATAAAAACTAACCTCCAAAAAATGGGACTGCATCCTATAGGGACAATCTTCCAATGGGTGGGACTGCATCCCATGGGCACTATCTTTCAATAAGGGGGACTGCATCCCATAGGGACTATCTTCCAATGATTGTCCCATATAGAACTTCAGTTTTCATAGAAACGTAGATTTATTTAGAAGAGTACAGTATAAAAAAAGTTGCCTAACTAACACTGGACGTTGTCACACTCTTAGGGTTTCAAAGTAAACAAAAGAGCAAATTTATTTTAGGGAGACATGCATTTGCACGAGTGGAACTGCATCCTATAGGGACTATGTTCCAATGAGTGGGATTGCATCCCATGTGCACTACTCTTACAATGCAGTGGTTTTCAAACCAGTCCTCAAGGCACGCCCACCAATCCAGGATTTAGGGATTGCCCAGTTGTGTAAAGGTGTTTTGTGTTTATCTTTCTGAAAACATCTTGGACATTACTGGATAATCCCTAAATCCTGGACTGGAAGGCGTGCCCTGAGGACTGGTTTGGCAACCACTGCTCTAATGAATGAGACTGTATCCAATAGAGACTATATTCCAATGGGTGGGACTGCTTCTCATAGGGGCTATCTTGCAATGAGTGGGAAGGCCACCCAAAGGGACAACCCTCTAATGAGGAGGGTTTCCCACACAGACTGCCTCTCCTAACAGTCACACAATGAGTGTGACTGTTAGAATCTACCGTAGAATAAGTTAGATTTTCTCTCATAGGTCCAATGGATAATGCTACATACCATCAGGACTGTCCTGAAGTGAGTGAGACCGCCTGACACCCAAAAATATACCTCCAAATGAGATTGTCATAAAATTGTTTTGGATTCTTCTCTGCCAATCAGCTGCCACTCTAGAAATATCTCCGACACTCCAAATATGAATCAACTGCTTATTTGTTTACACTATGGCGAGTGATGTTGCTTTCCTGGTGAGTGTATAATTTTTCTGCGCACAGAATGTGTTCAATTTTCAGGGCAAAAACAACTTTGTGCACATATGTGTATCACTTCTCTTCAACATCGAGTCAAAAATCTCTGCTCTGTATATTGTTAGAATATAATCTAAAAATCCTACTTTAGGGAACTCCTTGGCATGTAGGTGATGGGTTGTGACTGATCTGGAGGGCTTTGTTTGTGGACCAACACTGTCATCACCTCTATTTACTTTCCAAGTCACTCCCCATATAGTCTATGTGTCCTGTACACACATCATCTACACTACTCCAGACGTGAACAAAAAACAGGCACCCAGTTTTGTAAAGTTTTCCTAACCCCTGGCAAAAAGGGGCTTATTCCTACAAAAATAAACAATATATATTTTTTTATTTTTTAAAAGGGGGCTTATTCGATAAACTTAAACATAAAAATGTCATTTATTTAGAGGGGTAGGGGGGATTTCTTAACAATGCTAGAATAAGACATATTTTCTCACACAAAAGACACAGGTTATTTTAAAAACTGACAGGCATCTTCACTAAAGTGAATTTCAAATTTAAGGCCAAAATAGTGAAATTGGAAAAATTCTTTGAATCAGCTATGCTTCCAGTTCAGATACGTTGGTGTAAAATTTGAAATTTCCTCTGAATTCATTATGAATTCTCACATTGGTGAATAACCCTGTAAATTGCAAAATTTTGCCAAAAGGAGCTGAAATTGAAAATGAAATGCTATCTACATTCACAGTTTGACTGTTCAAGTTTCAAAACAATTCAGAGTCCAGCTAATTTAAATTCTAACGAAAATATCTACATTTTATGTTAAAACCGATCCGGTATACACCTGCTCTAAACATCTGTTTACCTATCACATTGCTTAACTCTCTGCTTTTAGCATCGTGTTACTAATTACACTCATGTTTAGATATGCTACTGTGCATTATACATTTTTAAACATACACCTATAGCCATGCACACTTCATACCGAATAGGTTGACTGACAGTACTGGATCCATTGCTTTCCACTGTGGGCTCCAACTCCGGAGATTTGAGTAGCCGCAGTTCGTCTGCTTGCAGGGCATTGTAGAAGGTCTGGCCTCCACTATCTGGACTAAAAACAGGGCTCTTGGCCTCTTCAGATCTGTGGTTTTTCACCATATTTACAGCAGTCATTGGCAGCTGCATGAGCCTCTGCATGGGTTTCATGCTGTGGTGTATTGTCTGGGCACAATATTAAATATACTTGGGGATGTATAGTTAAGGTAGTTTACAGAATGCTCAGTGCTAGTAAACTTAGTGCACACCGCTAGTGATGCATGTGTTATTGGATACTAGCAGATGGGATAAGGGGCAGGTATTGAGTACCTGCACGTCTTCAAGCACGTCTTCAAGCCCCCTCCCGGGTAGTGATGCTCAGTGTATTCAGAGGCAGAGCATAGAGAATCGCAGGCGACAGGTACTTCGTATTTTTGTCTTTAGTGTGTTTTCCAGTGTGATCAGTGGGCTTGGTATGATGTGATCAGTAGTTGTTACATCGAGTGACTCCAGGACTGCTCATTGGGACTAGAAGATGATGGCACCCCCTGTGGTCAAGGTGAGTACTGCATGTGATGCCCAGTGTGCAAAGTAGTAGGCATTTAAGCTGATGTGCAATGTGAGATAATAGATCCTTGGAGTGATGCTTTTGCTAATAAATTTAAGGTTTCCAGACAGATGCCAATAATAAAAAAATTTCAATAATCAGGGTGATCTGTTTTAGGCATTTGATATGATGCTTATATGATCAGTAACAAATCCTGGCAGTGACAATTATTATATCCATCCGTAGATCCATACAGCGATGATGTGGGTCAATATAAGCCTCTCGTCTGTGATACCTATGGTAAAAAATGCAATTCCTGGTAACGGCCCCAGGTAAGAAACAATTCTTGATGGTGATTTCAAATTTCCAAAGTCCATATGGCGGGGGTTCAGGGGATGTCTTGACGCAAACCGCAAACTTCCTTCATACCGATCACTGGGGCTAATCAATAGGGTTTATATAGTGATACTCTGTATCTCCTCCTGAGTAATCCCCTTCCCCGCGTTAATACAGAGCCATGGAAACTCCAGAGACATTAGTAGCTCCACTCTGATGTGGGGTGTTTGTGTGCGCAGGGGGTTAATGATTTACAGGTGTTAAGGTCCTTCTCTCCTTCTCTCCAAGCATGTAAAACAGCTGCAGCCACCTTTATAAGGGAGCCTCCTGTCTTCACTATCTCCCACACCTCCTCCTGTCCTCACTATGTCCAACACCCCTTCCTGTCTTTACTATGTCCCACTCCCCCTCCTGTCCTCACTATGTCCCACACCCCCTCCTGTCCTCACTATGTTCCACACTCCCTCCTTTCTTCACCATGTCCCCCCCTTTCACTTTTCCCACCCCCCTTTCACTATGTCCCACACCCCCTCCCGTCTTCACCTAACCTTTTCTCTTATTTACTCCTTTAAATGTATCCAACTCTAAATTTCAATGCTTACTGCCTCTCCCTTATTCTTTATTTCATTCATTTATTTATCTCCCACTAGTTCTTTTCTTCTTTAATCTCTCCCAATTAGCTTTCATCTCCTACTTTTCACGGTGTTGCTAATTTTCTTCAATTATTTATTTTTTTCTTCATTCATTCCCATCCTCCGCTCTCCTCTCTCTCACAAGCAGGTCCTCTTTGCTGGCAGACTCCCTGCTCAGCCACGTTTGCAATCCTTCCTCCCCCCCCCCCAACCCAGCTTGTCTCACCCCTCCCACATACACATATTACTGTGAACATGACTCAGCCTACACCAAAATGGTACACAAGCTGCATTCTCCACCCCGCCTCCCATCATACACACACCTTCTTCACTGACCCAAACATCGCACCCAACTCATTCACTACACACTTAGCAGCAGTGTTATTCAATACCGTGCAAATATTTGTGTATTTCAAACCTGGGGCCAAATTCGCTGAATTGAAAATATAATTTGAATGTTTTGACTAAAAAATTTTAATTTTGAATCCTCAACAATTTGTACTTTAGAAAAAAACTATGACGGATACTTTTTGGTTTTTCTACTAAACACTGAACTGCAGTGAATTGAAAACCAAAATTAAAAATGTATTCCAAATTGGAAAAAAAAATCTTTAATGACTATTATCACAGGGAGGCAATTCTAACCTGAATTGTGCAATTTTTATTTATTTATAAATATTTTACCAGGAAGGATACATTGAGATTTCTCTCGTTTTCAAGTATGTCCTGGGTCCACAATACATTGCATTGTTACAATAGGATACAATATGACAAACAATATATACACACATACACACATATATAAATGTGACACGTAACAGGTAATAAATATAGTTAACCACGACAGGTGCATTCTGTATTGTAGTAAAGAAACCCAGTATTATGGCTCCCCCATAAGAAAAAAATTCATCACAATCATATATTATGAAAATTTTAGGCAACAAGAGGTGAGCTGGAAAATGTCTGTTAGAGAAAGACATCTAGGCTAAAAAATATTTTAGGCAGATTCATAGCACTGTACAGGGACTGATCACCACATCAGTAATGGGTGCCTTTACTGTAAACAGGCCCCCCAAACAATTTCTGCAGGACCATCCAGATATTATAATCCTGTCCCACCATCCTGGTTTTGTTCCCTGGAAATGTCACAAAACAAAAGCTGGGGGGGAGTACGCTGCAAGTTTATCCTAGATTAGGACAATAATTACTCCTGGATTAGGACAATAATTACTCCTAGATTAGGACAATAATAACTCCTGGATTAGGACACTGCTTACTCCTAGATTACGACAATAATTACTCCTGGATTAGGGCAATAATTACTCCTGGATTAGGACACTGCTTACTCCTAGATTACGACAATAATTACTCCTAGATTAGGGCAATAATTACTCCTGGATTAGGACACTGCTTACTCCTAGATTACGACAATAATTACTCCTGGATTAGGGCAATAATTACTCCTGGATTAGGACACTGCTAACTCCTGGATTAGGGCAATAATTACTCCTAGATTAGGACAATAATTACTCCTGGTTTAGGACAATAATTACTCCTAGATTAGGGCAATAATTACTCCTAGATGAGGACAATAATTACACCTGGATTAGGACAATAATTACTCCTAGATTAGGACAATAATAACTCCTGGATTAGGACACTGCTTACTCCTGTATTAGGACAATAATTACTCCTAGATTAGGACAATAATAACTCCTGGATTAGGACACTGCTTACTCCTAGATTACGACAATAATTACTCCTGGATTAGGGCAATAATTACTCCTAGATTAGGACAATAATTACTCCTGGTTTAGGACAATAATTACTCCTAGATTAGGGCAATAATTACTCCTGGATTAGGGCAATAATTACTCCTAGATGAGGACAATAATTACTCCTGGATTAGGGCAATAATTACTCCTAGATGAGGACAATAATTACTCCTGGATTAGGACACTGCTTACTCCTGTATTAGGACAATAATTACTCCTAGATTAGGACAATAATAACTCCTGGATTAGGACACTGCTTACTCCTAGATTACGACAATAATTACTCCTGGATTAGGGCAATAATTACTCCTGGATTAGGACAATAATTACTCCTAGATTAGGACAATAATTACTCCTAGATTAGGACAATAATTACTCCTGGTTTAGGACAATAATTACTCCTAGATTAGGGCAATAATTACTCCTGGATTAGGGCAATAATTACTCCTAGATGAGGACAATAATTACTCCTGGATTAGGGCAATAATTACTCCTAGATGAGGACAATAATTACTCCTGGTTTAGGACAATAATTACTCCTAGATTAGGGCAATAATTACTCCTGGATTAGGGCAATAATTACTCCTAGATGAGGACAATAATTACTCCTAGATTAGGACAATAATTACTCCTAGATTAGGACAATAATTACTCCTGGTTTAGGACAATAATTACTCCTAGATTAGGGCAATAATTACTCCTGGATTAGGGCAATAATTACTCCTAGATGAGGACAATAATTACTCCTGGATTAGGGCAATAATTACTCCTAGATGAGGACAATAATTACTCCTGGATTAGGACAATAATTACTCCTAGATTAGGACAATAATAACTCCTGGATTAGGACACTGCTTACTCCTGGATTAGGACACTGCTTACTCCTGGATTAGGACACTGTTTACTCCTGTATTAGGACAATAATTACTCATAGATTAGGACAATAATTACTCCTGGATTAGGGCAATAGTTACTCCTAGATTAGGACAATAATTACTCCTGGATTAGGGCAATAATTACTCCTAGATTAGGACACTGCTTACTCCTAGATTAGGGCAATAATTACTCCTGGATTAGGGAAATAATTACTCCTGGATTAGGACAATAATTACTCCTGGATTAGGGCAATAATTACTCCTGGATTAGGACACTGTTTACTCCTAGATTACGACAATAATTACTCCTGGATTAGGGCAATAATTACTCCTGGATTAGGACACTGCTAACTCCTGGATTAGGGCAATAATTACTCCTAGATTAGGACAATAATTACTCCTGGTTTAGGACAATAATTACTCCAATAATTACTCCTGGATTAGGGCAATAATTACTCCTAGATGAGGACAATAATTACACCTGGATTAGGACAATAATTACTCCTAGATTAGGACAATAATAACTCCTGGATTAGGACACTGCTTACTCCTGTATTAGGACAATAATTACTCCTAGATTAGGACAATAATAACTCCTGGATTAGGACAATAATTACTCCTGGATTAGGACACTGCTTACTCCTGTATTAGGACAATAATTACTCCTAGATTAGGACAATAATAACTCCTGGATTAGGACAATGCTTACTCCTAGATTACGACAATAATTACTCCTGGATTAGGGCAATAATTACTCCATTAGGGCAATAGTTACTCCTAGATTAGGACAATAATTACTCCTGGATTAGGGCAATAATTACTCCTAGATTAGGACACTGCTTACTCCTAGATTAGGGCAATAATTACTCCTGGATTAGGGAAATAATTACTCCTGGATTAGGACAATAATTACTCCTGGATTAGGGCAATAATTACTCCTGGATTAGGACACTGTTTACTCCTAGATTACGACAATAATTACTCCTGGATTAGGGCAATAATTACTCCTGGATTAGGACACTGCTAACTCCTGGATTAGGGCAATAATTACTCCTAGATTAGGACAATAATTACTCCTGGTTTAGGACAATAATTACTCCTAGATTAGGGCAATAATTACTCCTGGATTAGGGCAATAATTACTCCTAGATGAGGACAATAATTACTCCTGGATTAGGGCAATAATTACTCCTAGATGAGGACAATAATTACTCCTGGATTAGGACAATAATTACTCCTAGATTAGGACAATAATAACTCCTGGATTAGGACACTGCTTACTCCTGGATTAGGACACTGCTTACTCCTGGATTAGGACACTGTTTACTCCTGTATTAGGACAATAATTACTCATAGATTAGGACAATAATTACTCCTGGATTAGGGCAATAATTACTCCTAGATTAGGACAATAATTACTCCTGGATTAGGGCAATAATTACTCCTAGATTAGGACACTGCTTACTCCTAGATTAGGGCAATAATTACTCCTGGATTAGGGAAATAATTACTCCTGGATTAGGACAATAATTACTCCTGGATTAGGGCAATAATTACTCCTGGATTAGGACACTGCTAACTCCTGGATTAGGGCAATAATTACTCCTAGATTAGGACAATAATTACTCCTGGATTAGGACAATAATTACTCCTGGATTAGGGCAATAATTACTCCTAGATTAGGACAATAATTACTCCTGGATTAGGACAATAATTACTCCTAGATTAGGACAATAATTACTCCTGGATTAGGGCAATAATTACTCCTGGATTAGGACACTGTTTACTCCTGGATTAGGGCAATAATTACTCCTACATTAGGACAATAATTACTCCTAGATTAGGACAATAATTACTCCTGATTTAGGACAATAATTACTCCTGGATTAGGACACTGCTTACTCCTAGATTAGAAAAGTAAATCACTCCAAGATCAGGAAAATCTGCTTCACAAAAACATTGTGGTTTATTCACTAAACAGAAAATTGTTGTAAAGTGACAATCTGGTTGCAAAATTCAGGCTACAACGGCTAAACTGTGACTATATAATTTTTCCCAAATTTTCCATTTTGGTGTAAATTGCAATTCCCCAAAGCTCACAGTTTAGTGATTACGCCTCTCACAGCTCTCGCAGTTTGCCTCTGTCACAATGGCTGTCAGATTAGTATTGTATCTAAGGGCACAGAAATTGTTGGGGCTATATATAAAACCATTATAAACAGATTATTCACTAAAGGGAGGAATGTTGAGAATTTCATTATGAATTCAAAGTTAATTTCAAACCTGAATTTCTAACGCTTTAGTGTCCCTGTCCCTAGTTAAATAGGTCCCTTTAAATTTGTAATTGTAATTTCCAGGTAAAAAAAAAAAAAAAATCAAACTGTAACCTAAACTAGTTGATTTGGAAGAGATCTCCTTTCCAGCTATAGTCACCGCTTGGTTATTTTTAAATTGATTTCTAATTCACTACATTTCTGTGTTTAGAAAATGAAACCCTGTCTCTTACTTGGCAAATATAGATATTCTATGGTGAGCTGAAAAACAAATCTCAAAATTTAGAGCAAAATTGCAGATTAAGACAAATGCCCCAATTCGTTAATAGTGAAAGAAACACTATACAGTATATAAATATTTTACCGTGTTTCCCCGAAAATAAACCCTACCCCGAAAATAAGCCCTAGTCGGATTTTCGGGGTGGGCTGCAATATAAGCCCTACCCCGAAAATAAGACCTAGGCATTGCACCTTTGCGGCGAGACTTCCTTCTTCTACTGTAGGAGGAGCGTTGCGGGCCGCGGCATCGCGCAACGTGATGACGACATTTCGCAGCGCCGTCAGTCTGCCTTCACGGATCTTCAGCGGAAGGATCCATTTCCGGGCGGTGAGGCACCCAGTGGTCGGACTCGGCAAGGAATCTTTGAAATGTGAGTACCGGTAGATATTTTATGTCTGGGACTGAATTAATTAAAGGGGGCGGGGGGTGAATTAATTAAAGGGGGGTGAATTAATTAAAGGGTGGGCTGGATTAATTAGAGGGGGGTGAATTAATTAAAGGGGTGGTGAATTAATTAAAGGGTGGGCTGGATTAATTAGAGGGGGGTGAATTAATTAAAGGGGGTGGATTAATTAAAGGGGGGTGGATTTATTAAAGAGGGGGTGGATTAATTAAAGGGGGTGGATTAATTAAAGGGGGGTGGATTAATTAGAGGGGGGTGGATTAATTAGAGGGGGTGGATTTATTAAAGGGGGGGTGGATTAATTAGACAGTATGGTATTTTGATCCCCAGATAAGATGAGTGCAAAGAGAAAGAGCTGTACATACTGGTAACGTAAATAAATAAGCCCTAACCTGAAAATAAGCCCTAGTGTGTTTTTTGTGACTAAAATTAATATAAGACCCGGTCTTATTTTCGGAGAAAAACGGTAGCTGTGCATGAAGCTCCCTCCAGTGGACATTCTGAGTAAACACAAGTGGTAGCACGCAGTTACAGGGGGAGACACCAATTACTGACTTTACATTATTTTTCCCAGTCGACAGGACATTTGCATATGCTCATTGCAGATTATAGCTTCCAGGTCTCACAGCCATGTAGCAAGAAATAGACAAACACAGCTAAAAGTATACATAAGGAAACGTAAAGACTACTTTTCCTTTTGTAGAACCAGCAGGCTTAGAAAAGTTGACAAAGGGTTGATCTTTAATCAAGCGCCACTGATTTTGTCAACTTTGTCATTGGCCATATGTGTGTGTATATACTCACTTCCCTTCAGTGCTGCGTCACTTCCTGAAGCATTGCGTCGCTGATCCTCAGTGTTGACTCTCACACAATTGCGAGAGTAAACAAGGAGGGTCAGTGGAGGATGCCAGTGTACTGGGCATGCTTGTGATTTAAGTTAACGCTAGCCCAAGTAAGGGCAGAAGTTCTGATGTCTGAGCGGTACCCAGTTAAACTGTTCCCAGGCAAAACTAATGTTGGGGTTGTGATGTTGATGGCTTCATTCATTTTTCGGAATTAAGTTGTTATTGTGTCAGTTCGTCCTTGGCATTGGCTTACATTCAGGGATTCAACCAGAAAACGGCTTGAGAAAGGTAAATTTCTCGAGCCATTTTGTAAATGGGTAGCTACTGATCTGGACCTAAACAGATAAAGAGGGGGCAGAGCTGACTGGTGCCAGACACAAGACTTTGGTGTTAAATATTTTGTTCACTGTTATTGGGCAGACTAGATGGGCCGAATAGTTCTTATCTGCCGTCACATTCTATGTTTCCCTCTTCCACTGACATGCAAGAGTTTCGAGGCCAGAAAAGCTTGCTGGATCTTCTGCAGTCTTTGAAAGCACTTTATTTAAAGAAGTTGCCACCTGAACAATTCTTTAGATAAATAAAAACATAAATAATGGAAGTTGTGGGGCACCTATCAAAACAACTTTAGCTTAGTGAAGCAGTTTTGGTGTCTAGATCAACCCCAGCAGTTTCACTGCTCACTTCTCTGCAATTTAGGGCTTAAATCACCTTTGTTTCTGTTTTTGCAGCCCTAGCCACGTCTTCCCTGTCCGTGACTCCACAGTCTGCATGGAAAAATAGGTTTTTATTTTCAATCAGCCATTAACTTGCTTTAGACGTTTTTGTCTCCTGCTCTGTAATTTGAACTTTAATTAAACACAGGAGGCTCCTGCAGGGTCTAGAACATGGGTGTCCAACTTTTTGGCTTCCCCTGGCCACATTGAGCGAAGAGGAAATGTCTTGGGCAGCACATATATATAATGTATAATATAATTAATTAATTTATTAATTAATTTATACAATGAAACTTCAAAAGCCCTTTTCTTAATTTTGATATTTAATTTGTTTGGTAGATGTTACGTATTCATCCGTTTATAAAAACGTGGTTAATGACATTTACTGTCACACAGGAAAAGTTGTGCCGAGCAGCAACCTAATCCACAGAAGGGTTAATGCTGAGCAGCAATTATGCAAATGAAACCTGGTAACTGACTTTGGGGTCAAAGGCCGGTTACAGCCTATCAGATCTAGAGGAGGGGTATTTAGGCCCAGTTCTCATCCTTCTCAGTGCCCTGTCTTGGTTTGCAGTGGTGTATCCTGGTTTTGTGCTGCCCTAGGCAGGACAAAACCCAGGCGCCCCCCAACCCCCCCCCCACCCATCCCTTCCCCCCGCCCGCCTTCTAAATACACACACACACACAAATACTCACTGACAGATACGCATACACTAGCTAACAGAAACACAAACTCACTGACACACACAGACACTCACTCACTAGCAGACACACACACACTCACTGACACACACACTCACAGGCAAACATACACACACAATGAGACACACACACACACAAACACACTCACTCACTAGCAGACACACTCACTCACTAACAGACACAAACACTCACTGATACACACACTCACAGGCAAACACACTCACACTAACAGTCGGACACACACACACTAACAGACACACACACTCACTCACTAACAGACACACACACTAACAGACACACTCACAGACACACACACACACACTAACAGACACACTAACACACACACACTAACAGACACACACACTAACAGACACACACACTAACAGACACACTCACACACACACACACACTAACAGACACACACACTTTTTTTTAACCCCCCCCCCGCCTCCTTACCTTTGGGAATGTTGGGGGGGGGTTCCCTCTCTCCCTGGTGGTCCAGTGGCTGCTGGGCGGCGCTAGCTGATGGTCGGGCAGGCGGCTGGCGAGGGAGCTCTTCCTCTGAGCACTCTGCTCAGCTCCCTCGCGCGTCGCAGAGTGAGGCTGGGAGCCGGAATATGACATCATCTTCCGGCTCCCAGCCTCACTCTGCGGCGCGTGAGGGAGCTGAGCAGACCGCTCAGAGGAAGAGCTCCCTCGCCAGCCGCCTGCACAGCAGCCAGCGCCGCCCGCCCAGCCCGACCGGCATGTCTGTTAGCCGCAAGGCTAACAAGACATTTGCCCTGGGCATTTGGGGGCAGCGTTTTTTGCCGCCCCCTGAAAAATGCCACCCAAGGCAAATGCCTTGTTTGCCTCGCGGCTAAAACGCCCCTGGTGGTTTCCCTTGTGGTTGTCCGAGAGTGCACTCCTGTTTATAGTTTTCTACCTGGTTTTTTACTTTGGCTTTGTTTATTGACTTCTCTATATTCTGGTATCCTGACTCCTGGCTTTCCTCATCGCTGCGTCCCTTTCTGTGTTCCCTGACCTCGGCTAGTATTTTTGACTATTCTATGTACGTTAAATCCGGCCATTCTAAGGACCGGTAATACGTTACTTATTTGTCATCCGTGCTATACAGTTCTACGTGCTGGATCAAACAGTAATCCTGACAGTAGATAACTGTAAAATTCGGAAGCTATCTTCTAAACACATAAACATGCATATACATATACACATAACCAAAGATATACGCATACACAGACAATCAAAGATCTATACACATATACAATCACAGACCTATACACACACACACAATCACAGACCTATACACACACAATCACACACAGACATACACACAATCCTAGACATACACAAACATACACATTATCACTGTCCTATTTTTTTGGAGTTTAAGCAAGTGTGGGATAAACATAAGGCTATCCTAGACTTAAGATAAGGCCAGGGACTAATGAAAGTATTTAGAACATTGGGCAGACTAGATGGGCTGAATGGTTCTTATCTGCCGCCACATTCTATGTTTCTATACACACACACAATATATATATATATATATATCACAATAATAATAATAACTTCTGACCTCGTACATATAGTAGGATTTGCTGGATTGTTTCAACCAATCATATTTTTTTCTACGATTTTGAGCGAGTTTATGTATATACTTTCTTTATTTTCATGTATGCTATATTGATTTATGTACATATTGCTTTTGTCCTCTTTTTTAATAGAAAGGCTATTTTTAATAAATAAAGATTAAATGTTGAGTTTTATTTAATAATCAAATATCTTTTGGTCCAAGCAATTTTTCACTATCTATATAACGTTAAGCTTAGGGTTTATCCCCTTAAATGCCTTGTGACCATTGATTACTGAGCTCCTCTTTGAATTTATACTACAATCAGATTCCTCCTTTTATTTCTCATTATAAATGTAATTGGAAATTATTTTATTAGTGCACCCCAAAAAAAATTCTTTGAAAACTCACTTCTTCAGGAAAGAGTATCAATTAAACTGTTAGCAGGTTTTCATCCTCTCCCCACGGCTCCTCTCTGTCAAAAATAACCCAAGTTCTCAGTGAATACTTTTCTAGCAACATATTTCATTACCCCAATTTATACCCTTTGTGTCATTATACCCCACTCCCTCTAGCATGTAAGCTCATTGAGCAGGGCCCTCAACCCCTCTGTTCCTGTGTGTCCAACTTGTCTGGTTACAATTACGTGTCTGTTAGTCCACCCATTGTAAAGCGCTATGGAATTTGCTGGCGCTATATAAATGATAAAATAACAATAATACCGGAAAATAAACATAAAAAATAGCCTATTCAGCCTACAAAGTGCAAATTCCACTGCACAAAAATCACTGCAGTTATAATAATGCCACCAGTTCACTAAGTGAAGATGTGCACATGTAAGACACACACCACACACATATGTGCGCAACCATTGCGACCTGTCCATAGAAAGCGTCCAGGCATGCGCAGAGGTGCCAATACTAATGTGGTGGAGAGTCCTGGGAATTTTCTGTAGTTTTCAGTATTCCTTTCCCCGTCGATAAGGGAACATGAAGAAAATTTTCAAAATTATAATATGATAACCGCTGATATAATATAAATGATATCGGCTGAATTTATTTATTTTCCACAAAATCCGGACAAACACTAATCTAAGTTGTTTAACCCTAAGAATAACTGCCGGTATAAGCGCTGACTTATGATCTGACCTCATGTATTTTTTAAGTCTCATTTTACTTTTTATTGAAAAGTTATAAATTGGACATTTTCTGGAAAACTCACAGGGTGTGCATATTCTGTAATCTTTGACATGTGATAATGATGAGGTCCCAGCAGCCTGTCCTCTGTAGTGATTGGGGACAGAGGAGACCTTTGATGATTTACCCCCTGGGGGGACACTTACCTTCAGTAAAGCAGAGCCAGCTCCTGTGTGAATAGAGGGATGTGTAATCCTCCCCCTCTAAACCCACCTCCCCCCTCCCTTTATTCCAGCTGCTGCTTTATTAGCCCAGCACCAGACCCCACTGTATCTGAGGGCAGCACACAGACAGGGCTATAATAATAATAATAATACAAATTATTATTAATAATAATAATAATAATTAAAAAAATAATACAGATATAACATGGAGATGGAGAATTCTCTCCCCCCCTCTCCCTCCCCCCTGAGCTGGGCCCTGGGTAACCCCATACATATATAATAATAATATTAATAATACAGATATACTATGGGGATGGATAGTTGCCTCCTTGGATGGATAGTTGCCCCCCCTCTCCCCTCCCCCACAGACAGGGCTGAGCTGGGCCCTGGGTAACCCCATACATATATAATAATAATAATACAGATATACCATGGAGATGGATGGTTGCCCCCCTGGATGGATGGTTGCCCCCCCTGGATGGATAGTTGCCCCCCTGGATGGATGGTTGCCCCCCTCTCCCCTCCCCCCAGCCAGGGATGCTGGGGATGCAGTCACCCTCTGGGTACCTACCTCTTGTAGTCACTGCTGAAGATGCCCCCGCTGGCCGGGTCCTGCCCATACTCGGGCTCCCCCAGGCTGCCCCCCTTCTCCTCGCTGTACCCCGGGCTGGCAGACATGGCTCAGCACCCTGTGTGTGCGGACAGCGCTCTACTGCCCCCTGGTGACGTCATCCGCCGGGGGAGGAGCCCCGAGCCCCGCCCACCCCGCTCACTAACACGTGCATTGCCGTGAGGGGGGGGAGGGGAGGGGCTCTATAGACTGAATGTGGGGACTCTAGCACTGTAACAGCGGGGGTTACAGTGTTAATGAACACCCACATTGATGTGAACTATATTTCCCACAATGCTAACCCAGCTTCTCAGCTGGCCGAGCATCATGGGAAATGGAGTTCAGGAGCCCCAGGTCCCTTTTACCAGCCATCAGAGAGACACAGACTGTCTATAGTACACAGTATTAATAATATTATTAGTATTATTGGTATTATTGATATTATTATTAGCGTTATTAATATTATTAGTATTATTATTATTGATATTATTATTGGTATTATTATTATTATTGGTAATTATATAGCGCCAACTAATTCCGCAGCGCCTTACAATATTATGAAAGGGGGGGTAATTTACAATAAATTAGACAATTACACAGTGACATAGGAACAATAGGTAAAAGGAGCTTACTGTCTAGAGGAGGTTGGGTACAAATACACAACTCGGCAGCAAAGGGCAACAGCCACCAAACAAGGTGGAGACGTAGCGTACAGTGGCGTACACATGACCCATGGGGCCCCGGTGCAAAAATTGATCCGTGGGCCCCCCCCACCCCCGCGCTTACTCGGTGCGGGTCGGGGTCACAACACATGGTGGCGGGCACCTGGTCGCAGGGGTTACAGGGCTGCGACCCCGCGACCGCGGTATGCACACACACTTAAAGGACCACTACAGACACCCAGATCACATCAGCTCAATGAAGTGGTCTGGGTGCCAGGTCCCTCTAGTTTTAACCCTGCAGCTGAAAACATAGCCGTTTCAGAGAAACGGCTATGTTTCACTGAGGGTTAATCCAGCCTCTGGTGGCTGTCTCATTGACAGCTGCTAGAGGAGCTTCCGCGATTCTCACTGTGAAAATCACAGTGAGAAGACACTGAACGTCCATAGGAAAGCATTGAGTAATGCTTTCCTATGGGCGGTTTAAATGCGCGCGCGCGCCTCTTGCCCGCATGTGCATTTCGGAGCTGAGTGTGACACTGGGAGTCCGACGCTGAGAAAGGTAAATGCTGAAGACACACACACACACTCTCACGAACAGACGCATACACACTAGCTAACAGACACACATTTACTGACAGAGACACACTCAGCGACAGACATACATACTCACTTACAAAACATACACTCACTGACACACACTCACTAACAGACATCAAACACTCAGTAACAGACACACACACAAACACCCCACTAGCAGACACACACCCAATAACAGACACATCCACCGACACACACACTAACACAAACACACACACACAAACACACACATACACCAACACACACCAACACACACACACCAACACACATACACACACACACACACCACACACAAACACACAACACAAACACACACACACTAACACACATACACCAACACACACAAACACAAACACACACCAACACACATACACCAACACACACATACACTAACACACACAAACACACATACCCCAACACACACATACACCAACACACACACACCAACACACACACACCAACACACACACACAAACCCCCACCTTTGGAGTGCTGGGGGGATTCCCTGGGTCCAGTGGTGCTGCTGGGCTCCTGGGCGGGTGGCCGGTCGGGCAGGAAGGCGGGCGCGCGAGGGAGCACTCACTGCTTCCTCTTCAGCTCCCTCGCGCGCCGCGTAGGGATGCCGGCGCCGGAAGATGACGCCATCTTCCGGCTCCGGCATCAGTGCGGTGCGCGAGGGAGCTGAAGAGGAAGCACTGAGTGCTCCCTCGCGCGCCCGCCTGCCCGACCGGCCACCTGCCCGCTGGGGTCAGCAGGGCCAGCCTCGGGGGGACCTGAGGTGGCCGCTGCCTGGGCCCCCCAGGAGAAGAGGCTGGCCCTGTGGGTACATATCGGGTCGCAGGGGCGGCCGGGCCCCCTAGTGGGCCGGGCCCGGTCGCAGCCGCGACCCCTGCGACCCTGGTATGTACGCCACTGGTAGCGTAGCTGGAGGTGAGAGTGGAGTGTCGCTCTTTTAGGAGAGCAAGACAGGTATGGATTAGTTACTCCGGGAGACCATAAGCATTTCTGAACAGATGGGTTTTGAGGCAGGTCTTTCTAGAAGCTTTGAGGAATAAGGAATCAGGGATATGGGACCATAATTGAAAGCAGGGCCAGATTAAAGGACCACTATAGTGCCAGGAAAACATACTCAGGGACCGCCTCCCGCCTGGCTCTGGAAGGGGGAAAAACTTACCTTTTTCCAGCGCTGGGCGGGGAGCTCTGCTCCTCCGATCCTCCTCCGTTCCTCCCCGTCGGCTGAATGCGCACGCACGGCAACAGCTGCGCGCGCATTCAGCCGGTCACATAGGAAAGCATTCATAATGCTTTCCTACGGACGCTGGCGTGCTCTCACTGTGAAAATCACAGTGAGAAGCACGCAAGCGCCTCTAGCGGCTGTCAATGAGACAGCCGCTAGAGGCTTTGGGGGAAGGCTTAACCCATTCATAAACATAGCAGTTTCTCTGAAACTGCTATGTTTATAAAAGAATGGGTTAATCCTAGCTGGACCTGGCACCCAGACCACTTCATTAAGATGAAGTGGTCTGGGTGCCTAGAGTGGTCCTTTAAGAGCCCAGTGGGCCTGGAGCTGACAATTATAATGGGCCTAATTACAGAATCTTATCGACCAAAAACACTAAAACAACCATACCTCCCAAGCGTCATGTATCTGATGGAGATGGTGTTGGAGGGAAAGGATGCAGCTATACGAAAATACATACTCTATGTTAATCTCTCTCTAATGTATGCTTTCATCTTTCAAGTAAATCCATACCCCCTAATAGCAGTGTCCTGTGAAGCAGGAAGTCAATGGGCGGGGTAAAAGGGTGGGCCACTGGCACAAATCACGTGACCAGACCTGCCAAAAGGGGTGAACATGCCCAAAAAGGGGGCATGTTTGTCCAAAGAATGGGAAGGCCAGCCTGGCACGAATGCATGTCAGACTGCCTGCCAATCATGCAGGCTGTCCAACTAAGGGCATACTATGCAGGCCGCACCCTGAGCTTGGCATAAATGCATCAAATGATGTGCATACTCCACGCTTTCTAAGGACTGTCCCCTAGTACTCGCTGGTCCACTAGTCTCCTTACCTTCTTACTAGCAGGCAGAAGTTCCTGGTATATAGTCTGAGACAGAGAAAAGGTGTATGTAGTGAGTGTAGTATATGTAGTGAGTGTAGAAGAAAGGGGACATGCCACAGTGTTAGAGAAACCAAAGTCTGCATTACCTAAACTAATTTTATTGTCAGCCAGTCCACACAAGTTTTGTTGCCATACATCCCTCTTAAGCTTCCAAACTTAAAGGGACACTATAGTCACCAGAACAACTACAGCTTATTGTATTTGTTTGATAAGTAGAATCATCCCTTCAGGCTTTTTGCATTATACACTGTCTTTTCGGAGAAAATAACTCCACTAGCCACTCCTTAGATGGCTGCTAGAGGTGCTTCCTGGGGCAGTACTGCCTAGTGTGCAGCACTGCCATTCAGTGTCTCCACCCGCTGCATGCAGACACTGAACTTTCCTCATAGAGATGCATTGATTCAATTTATCTTTATGAGGAGATGCTGATTGGCAAGGGCTATGTTTGACTTGTGCTGACTCTGCCCCTGATCTGCCTAGTTGACAGTCTCAGCCAATCTTATGGGGAAGCATTGTAATTTGCGCAGACCACCACTTCTGATGATGTCAGTTCAGAGGTAGAGCCAGCATCTGCAGACTTGATTACAAGTAAGATTTTACTATATTTAGGGAGGCAAGATGGTGGCAGGGGGGCTAGATGGTGGTTTTTACATAATAGGGTCAGACATACATGATTGTGTTCCTGACCCTATAGTGTTCCTTTAAGCAAGAGTATGTGAAGAGTAGTTAGGGTTGCCACCTTTCTTGGAAAAAAAATACCAGCCTTAATGTATTGTATAATTAATTAGTTATGCATGACATCACATGATTTAAATCACAAGGAGTGACATAAGAGAAAATTCTGTAAAATCACCAACAAACTGCTCACAATTTGATTCCCCTGTATAGATGAATTTCTCCCAGGGTCTCCCTGTCTCCCAGTATCTCAGTCTCGCAAGTCACCCAGTGTCTCAGTGTCCCTATGTATCACAGTGTCAGTGTCCCCATGTCGCCCAGTCCCACAGTCTCCAGTGTCCCCATTTCTCCCAGTGTCCCGGGACACTGGGAGACATGGGGGCACTGAGACACTTGGGGATATTGGGAGACATGGGGGCACTTGTGAATACAGACATGGGGACACTGGGAGACATGGGGACACAGACATTTGGGGACACTGGGAGAAATGGGGACACTGAGACACTAGGGACACAGAGACATGGGGACACAGACACTGGGAGACATGGGGACACAAACATTTGGGGACACTAAGACACTGAGAGACATGGGAACACAGACACTGGGAGACTGGGGGACACTGGGAGACTGGGGGACACTGGGGACACTGGGAGACATGGGGACACTGAGACACTAGGGACTCTTGTGGACATAGACATGGGGACACGGGGAGACATGGGGACACAGACATTTGGGGGACACTGGGAGACATGGGGACACTGAGAGACATGGGGACACACACTGGGAGACTTGGGGACACTGGGAGACATGAGGACACTGGCTGGGAGACATAGTGACACTGGGATAACCAGGCCTTCATAGTCGGAAGACATATGTTGTATTCGATGAACATGATTGGTTGTAAGGTCATCTAATAATGCTGGTTCTTAATCAATATCAACTGTTGACTGTGATACTGGTTTTCTCTTGCAATATGTTGAATATTTTGCTGTGGTGTCTGATCTTGTTATAAATATAGAATTAAAAAAAAATAGTGACACTGGGAGACATGGGGACTCTGAGTCACTAGGG